CTCTTTTTTTTTGATACATTCGTCTCCATAATAAGTGCAAAGCCATGTTGACAGCCGCCGGCTCTAATGTATTGATTGTCCTGCGGGCATTCGGCGCGTTGTAAACAGTTGGTGGAACGTGTTGTGGGGCGGTTAAAAAGGGCATAGTTTGAAGGTTACTACGCCTCTAGAAAGTATGGATACACTTGAAATCCATGATTTTTAGAGGCGTATCGAGTCTGATTTTCTGAAGGCGTAATGAGTCTAAGTACTTATTTTGTATGACTTAAAGCTTCTTATGCCTCAATTCTTACATTTTTTTTATCCATTTTTATTTTTGTTTCTTTCGTCGACTTATTTGACCCCTCAAATTTTTGTTGATGCCAAGAAAAGTACTCCAAGCGCGACGCTCAGATTTTGAGGAAATCTGGCACAAATTTCGATAAATATTTTTTAAAGACATATACAAGACTATTAGCTCGCGCTTTGCAGAAACGATGGAGATTTTTATGTCGAAAGTTTGTTGTAATTCGATACTTTTTTTTGCGAGTTTGCCCATTAAACTTTGCCGCTGCATTTTTACCAAAGAGGGTAGCGCTCTTGCAAAAAATCAGTTTTTTTCGACGCGAAACTGGCAAAGATATGACCATTCTCCTCCTCTGTCCGCTCTCCGCATTTCGCGTACTCTCTCGGCTACAAAGATCGTTGGATGTCTCGGCTGCCCCTGCAAAGCGTGAGCTAAAACTTTCAGGCATTGCTATGTGGCCTATGTATAACATGTATGCATATTCTTGTGTTTTCTCTCTGAACGCTCTCCGCATTTCGCGTAATCTCTCGGCCACAAAGATTGTTGAATATCTCGGCTGCCCCTGCAAGGCGTGAGCTGAAACTTTCAGGCATTGCTATGTGACCTATACTCAACGTGTATGCAAAATTTACAAAAAAATCTGAGCGTCGCACTTCGGATACACTCCTTTGTTAAAATATAATACAACTTGTAGGCTAAGAGGACACTACAAATTTTTTTTGCAGTCCCTACAATTTTGAATTCCGTATCAAGTACTATGCAACTTTTAGCACTGGCAGGTCACGCGGCCTGAGGATAAAATTAGTCTACGACTCACGTTATGTCGAGTTAGAGAGGGCTATTAGACGGTGGAAGAGAAAGTTACAATGTCTTCGGCGGCGGAGACATTATAATTAATTTGGCGAGAGGGGTTATTACAGGCGGAGTGGGGTAATTGAAGATTGATTAGAGGGCAATTTTGGATGTACTTTTAGAGCTAAAAGAATTGATTAATATTAGTTACAGTCAAATCTGTGTAAAACGAATCATAAGGGATCAAACTTTTTCAAACTTTTTAACTTTTCAATTTGGCTTTTCATTACAATTGTTATGCGGAAGTCTTTTTTGACATATTGCTTGAGCAATTTCTCAAAAATCAAGTCTTTTCTGACAAAGTCAGAAAAGTCGACTGCTTCTTCAAGGCTCCCCAATTTTTTTGAGACTTGTTTCGACCGGTAAAACATAGAGGGAATTTTGAAAATAACTTTTCCTACAAATTTTAGGACGAAAAGCCAACATGAAGAGTTCAGTTATCAATTTGAAGTGCGCCGTTTGCCATGCAGGGATTCCTTTTGGTCTCAAATTGACTGCCGACATGGTTTTAGGAAGGCTTCGTTGTTTCAGTCTGTCGGGAAAATAATGAGCACTCTGTCGCATCGAAAATCGTATGGCCAAAAAAATGAACTGTGTCGTAAAATTAAATTTCTTTTCTCTTCAACGACGCGATCTGCTCAATGACATTATGGTCATTATTTTCCCGACAGAGTGATAAAATAGGTCGTTGAATAAAACCATTTTTGTGCATGTCTACTGCACGTTCTCAGTCAAGCCTTCATCATATTTACTTGTCTCAAAATTTCCATCCAAACTACTTTTCCCGAGTTTGCAAGTCTCACGAGGTCGCTCAAAATATGCACATTGGGGTGGTGGAATAGTAGAAACGTGGCAGGTGTAAATTTTAATAAGCAGCCGCCAGTTCCGCTTTGTCTTAATGGGGTTGTACATAATGCTGGATGTAGAATTGAATAGACTTGACATTGATTCAATTATTTTGCGTTTATAGAACGGTTGCGGTGTGTTGCAGAGTCAGTGGTATGGCAGACATTTTTAATATACTTTGGTAATGTTTAACAGAGGATATTTCCTTTAAAAAAATACTTTTTCCCATAGAGTATGTTAGAGATTACCATGGGCAGAAATGCTTCTTTTTTCTTTGCCTGCTCTCCACATTTTGCATACTCTATCACCGATAAAGGTCGTTGAATATCCGGCCAAAATGATGACTCAACTTTGCAAGGAGGCCCATGCAAAGCACCAGAAAGTTGAATTGAAATTTCAATTACGAGCCGGATACTTTTACAATCTATAATCCTCCACACTGTTCCTCTAGCATATGTTTTTGACAATCCCAATATTTCCTCACTAATAACGAGTAGTCTGGAACTAAGAGCTCATTTCGGTGGGAAATGGCAATAATTTAGGCTTGGTATTTTCTATTACATTTACATTGGAAATACTCCAAGTGCGACGCTCAGATTTTGATGACAGTTGGCACAAATATAACAAAGTCTTTTTCGAAAACATAACCATGACTTCTAGCTCGCGCTTTGCAGAAAGGACAGGGGCTTTTAGGCCGAAAGTTGTCAAAAATGTGACCCCCTTTTTTTGAATTTTGAAAAATCATCATGTCTATTTCTACTGTAGAGGGTAATATTTACACAAAAAATCCATTTTTTCACGAGAAACTGTAAAAGATATGGCCGAAAAACGTTGTTGTCTGATCGCCCTCCTCACTTCGCATGCTCTCTCAGCGGCAAAAATTGTTCCATAACCCGGTAGTGCCTGCAAAACGCGAGCTAAAACTTTCAGGTATTGCTATGTGGCCTACACCAAACCAGTGTGTAAAATATAAAAAAAACCTATACGTTACACTTGAAAGCCTTCCCTTGTTGATTTAGCACCTTGAAGATACGTTTTCAATGGTACAAAAGAGACTGTGCGTCAGTTTGAACCGAGAATCGAGTTTTTTAGTTCGAAAATCCAATTACCCTGTGAGCTTTTGTGATCTCCGACCCTCCATGCGAGGGACTAATTTAAGACTTTGCCCCTTTAACCTTGCCTAATTTACCGTGGTGAACTTGTCTTCGAAGTAGCGGACGGTCCGCTCTTTCTACGTGCCTTTTCTCGCCCATTCTTCTGGCTCTCCAAGCTTTTTCCGTCTAGCAGTTAATACGTTTCTTATTTACTTGGTTTAAACTCCGTTTATAACATTTATTTATATGCATTATCTTTCCGCGAATCTCGAAGAAATTTTGGTTTTCATTGTGTTCCTTGTTTTTTGTACCAAGCCTATTTTTACAATCTTCGCGTTACTCTCGGCCCCATCAATTGTATTTTCGGTCACATTGTGGTTTAATAGTCTCGGAAATGATGGATTACAACAACGCCCTATGTAGTCTTTCAAGCCGCTCTAGGTGATTTATTAATCATTTTCGTTCCCAGTATCAGCCCAGAGTAATCAGTTGATTTTCACTGCATTCAGTTTGTTACCGTCATAACATTGCTGTAAAGGGAAGCGCTCAAAGTACGGCGCTTAGATTGGGGTGAAATTTGAGACAAATTTACGTTTTGTGTGTTATGTATCTGTATATTAAACTTATATTTGTAAAACAAAGCCGCGAAAAAAACGAACGAACTTTCTGGACAACCAAATAGTTTTAATTGCAATATCATTTAATATTTTCTCCCAATTTTACTGCGCTTTGAAACCTTTTTTTTCGAATGGTTTGTTGCTCCCTAAATGATTTTGTTTTGCGCATTCAGTCCTTGTGATTTGAACATACATCCAACAGTCTAACGGCTTAGCGCTTCCGTTTTTTTTGGCTGCATTGGATTTTTGATCAGGGTTTTTGATCCCCAACAAGTTGCAAGCCCTTTATCCGCCATGTAGGTGGATTATAGCCGTAGCAAGTTGATTGGCCGTGTAATTGAAAAAAGGGCCAGGTTTTTAGATCAGTCTGTCGGGAAAATAGTGGCTTGGAATCGCCCATTATTGCTTTGCGATGGATTGAAAATTTGGTAATAGAAGGGCCCTTTTTTCGACGGGGTGAACAATTTTCTGCAACGGACTGTCGCTATTTTCCCGACAGGCCGATAGGTACTGTATGTATATATATGTGTTTATATCAGTCTGTCGGGAAAACAGTGGCGGGCCGTTGCAGAAAATGTATGTCCATGCGGAAAATATGGTTCAGTCGAGCACCAAATTTTCAGCTGCGTCTGTCCGTTGCAAAAAAAATTATGGAGATTCTAAGGTGCGACTGATCCACATTATTTTCCCGACAGACTGATAGTTACCTTTTTTTCTTTTTTTTAAATTGAACTTAAAATATTTAACCATTGATATCGGTCTGTCGGGAAAATAACGGCGGATTGTCGCGCCTCGGAGTCGCTCATTATCGCTTTGCGACTGCAAGCCGCGGCTTGGGATTTGGTGCGCGATAGCGGCGAGGCGAGACATTTTGCTGCGACGATCCGCCGTTATTTTTTCGACAGACTGATATAGTTGCTTGTGTGACTTTTGACGACAGGTACTGTGCGAAAAACAAAGGTTTACTTTGCACCGTGCGATTTCTTGCATTTTGCACCGTGCAATGGGACTTTTTATTCAATCATTCTTTAGGCTAACAAAAATCACTCCAGAGAATTTGGGAACCAACTAATGTTATAATTGTATTAAATCATTATTAAAATCCTTACAAATTTTTCTTCTCGTGATATCGTGATGACATTTTGAACGCTTCTCTTTCAAAATCTGTATAACCTTTATAATCTTCAGGCCAAGAATTTTTTCACTTACAACATTCCTGCATTTCCCCTTACACTACCTACACCTCCGTCTTCCCTGATATGCTGATCAAGTCGCTACGATGAGCGTCGCACCCACCCATCTACGATGAACACACTCCCAGTGTTGCTCATTTTAATCTCCGTCCCTTCGGCGTGGGCGGTCTGCAGATTCCGGCACTACCAGCTCAGCTGCGACGATGTGACCGACCTGCGGCCGTTGAATCAGACCTTCGGCCTGACTCCGATGGACTTTCATCGGTTGTCGTCGATCGCGCTGACTTGTCAGAACGCGACGGCCGCCCTGTTGGAGGGATTTGACGACTACACAAGGTTCAACTACACGTACTTGGAGCGGTTGCATGTCTACGGCTGTGGGCTGGAGCTGATCGAGAAGCTGCCCAAGGTGCTGGGCTACGAGAGGCTGCAGTTCTTGAACTTGAGTGGAAATGATATTAGCGAATTTACATGGCAGTATGCGCGGAGGGTCGGGATGTTCGCCAGGATTGAGATACGGTATGGAAAAGTCTATTAGTGTATGTTTTACATACATACTAGTCGCGACATAAAGTCCGTAGAATTTTCTGCGACTCCGCACTGTGCATTCACCCGAAAACACATTTTGCACTGTGCAATTTTGTTGATTTTGCCTTATTGTCGCGCGCGATTCCCGTTTTTCGCAGCGACAAATCAACATTTCGGAGCGCGACGGAATTTGGGGGCCGCGAAAAATTCTACGGACTTTATGTCGCGACTAGTACGAAAAAAATGTTACAAGTAAACAACTTTTTTTCTTTAGAAACAACCCTGTTGCGTGCTCCTGCAAGAACTCCTGGATGTTGCATCTTCAACATCAGCACACGGAGACGTTTTGGACCGAGTCGCAAATTCTCCAACTTCCCCTCAAAATCAACATCGACATGAAGCTAAAAACTTGCTTGGACCAACTGAAACATTGTAAACGGGAAGAGACCATTGTACGACCGGCATTGATCGAGACAACAACCGGCTCCGAAGCCAAAGTTGAGTGTATTTTTGGGAGTGAGGTCCCGAATTACGACAACTTGACTCAGGCCGAGTACGACGAGTACATAACCGGCTCGTATGTGTGGCTGATGGACCGCGAGAAGGCGGAGAAGGAGGACCGAGCGGGACGAGTGGAGATTCGCTCGACCAACAGCACTAGTGTCACTTTGGTCGCGAGCAATTTGACCTCCGAAGAGCTGGGGATGATTGTTTGTCAATGCAATCATTGCGAGGCACCAAGCTACGGAACCGCTGAGGTAGGAGGAATTTTGAGAAATTTAGAAAATAAAATATTTATCTGTCTGTCGGGAAAATAATGAGCACTCTGTTGCATCGAAAATCGCATCGCCGACTGAGAAAATGAATTGTGTCGCGAAAAAATCAAGTTTCTTTTTCTTTTTACGATTGACGCAGTGACATTGTGCTCATTATTTTCCCGACAGAATGATATTTGAAGCCATCTTTTTTACATACTATATTAGGCATTTCATAAAGTGCATAGACATTTGTCACGGTCTGCACCGTGAAAAAAAACATCTAATTTTGCACCGTGCATTTCACTTTTTCTTTGGTTTTCGCACTGTGCATTGAAATATCGCTGCGACAAAAGCGAGTTTCATTTATGTCGCTGCGACGGCGCCAGGAATTTGCACAGTGCAAACGGCTTTTTTGAGCTTTGCACTGTGCGAAAAGAAAAAATGCACTGTGCGTTGGCGACAAGCATGAGAAAAAGTTCAAAATGCACTGTGCGAAAGGGAAAACTGTCAAAAATGTCCATGCACTTTATGAAAAATAGTAATGCGAAGAAGAGCGTATTTTAAAATCAAGTTCTACGGTTTTCTTTTTGCAGCTGCGTTTTGAAACTCCGTTATCCGCCGTCCTCCACACTCACGGCTCCAGAGACATCGAGCTGGCCGTTCATGGCTTTCCGTTGAATAATCTGACCCTCAAAGTGCTCAAAGAATCAACAAATGAGACTGAAGTTCATCCACTCACAACTGACTCGTAAGTTTGAGAAATCATTATTATGCTTTTTTTAAAGGACATAATTTATTTAAAATTGCATGACAATACAATATATGTTCTATATTTCCATTTTTACGCATTATTCCAAATTTCAGCACCGAGTTTTTCAACGGAACCTTCATCGCTAAATACGAGCCCGACCATTCCTTCGATTTCCTGAAATACTACCGCATCTACATCAAGGAGTGCGCGTTGTGCCGACGAAGTTCGGAGGAGATGAATCCGGCTTCGAATTATGAGTTGGAGGTCTGCTCTGATGTGGATTGCACTCTTTTGGAGAGTGACTTCGGTGAGTAGAATACAAAATTCAAAAGTGTTTTGTATGTCTTCTGAGTAGACTCACAAAGGAAGGCTTACAAGTGGGACGCTCAGATTTTTTTTTGATTTTGTATACACGTAGTGGATAGGCCATGTATCAATTCCTGAAAGCTTTAGCTCCCGCTTTGCAGGCATAGCCGAGATATTGAACGATCTTTGCGGCCCAGAGAGTGCGCAAAACACGGAGAGCGGTCCGAGAAAGAACATTTTTTGGCCGTATCTTTACCAGTTTCAAGCGGAAAAAAATATTTTTTGTGGAAACATTACATTCAGTGATAGAAGTAGCTGTGAAACTTTTCATGCCAAGCTTTGTGAAAAAAGATACGATTCTTCTTATTTCGCAGCTGGAGAATGACTCTTTTTACCACTTTTTACCCTGCTCTATCCACCTGCACTTGGTGATTTTCCCGAACGTTCGGATCATTTCCATGTTAAAAAAAAGTGATCTAAGTCTTCGCCTTCCCTTGTCTTACAAAGGTTACTGCTTTGCATATACAAGTAAAACAATCATCAATTTTGGCGTTATCTACAAATAACTAATCACCATCAATTCTCAGGTCGCCACCGAGGCAAAGTCCCACAACACATTGACGTCCTCAAAAAGACGGAAAAGCAGCCTTCATGGCTGCTGAAGGTCTTCACGAATCTCTTCTTCCTCCTGCTGGTCTCCTTTCTGGGCACCATCTTCTACGTGATGTATAAAAGACGCGGCAAGCCGAAGAAGAAGCCGGCCGAAGACAAGACGGCGGTGGTGAACTGGACCAAGAACAACAAGCGGATCCGGCGGCCGAGCAAGACGACCATGGACACGGAGGAGACCAGTCTGCGGGACGAGAGTATTAACGGCTCCATTTCGCACTACTCCCTGCAGCATGTGCCCACCATCAGCAAGGAGCATTTGCTGATCGAGAAGAAGATTGGAGGAGTGAGTGTTGCGATTTGATCATGTTTTTTGTTGATTAGAACATTCGAAATGGCCTTATTTGCTGACTTTTTCCCAAATCACCTTATAACATCTTTTCAGGGACAATTTGGCGATGTGTTTTCGGGTGAATGGCTCGTTAAACATGTCCCAGTGGCGATAAAAATGCTCCACAACGTGCATGTGGACGCTCAAATGGACAAAGAGGCCGGAATGCTCTCGGAACTCGACCATCCGAACGTCGTGAAGATGTTCGGGGTCTGCCGAATGAGCGATCGGAATTTGGCAATGGTCTTGGAGCTGATGAACCTCGGCGACTTGAAGACGTATGTAGCGGAGAGGAAACCGAAATGCGACAACTACTCGCAATTCCCACCGGCGTTAGTTCGCACGGAACTGATCGATATCGCTAAACAGGTAGGGTGGAAGGAGGTTTTGAAGTTTTGTGGATTTAAAATTGACGGAGGAAGGGACACGGGGGCATGGGAGAAAAGTTTAGAACATGACTAAAAAAGACTTCCAATTTTTTCTTTGCAGAGGCAACAGTGATTTTTAAAATAGTTCAAAAAGTTGTAGAGGATTTGATATTTCTTGCGAGTTTTTTAATTAAAAATTACATTCGCTTCCAAAGAAAATTCTTTCTTTCCAAAGGAATTTGTTTCCAATGCCTAATATGAGCCTTATTTCTATCGTAGATGATAATATTTCCACAAAAAATAATTGTTTTCCGCGTAATGCTGGCAATGATATGGCCAAAAACTTTTTTTTTTCTCTGACCGCTCTCCGCGTTTTAGCGTACTTCCTCATCTAAAAAAAGGGGCATTTGCGTGGAGACAAGTTCTGAGGATTTTTTCACCCTTACAAACCAAAATTAGGCAGGTAGTTTTTACATATTCTGAATCAGAAAAGTTTTGCGCTTTTTTGATATATGTCTTGACCTGTAAGTCCATACCCCCTTAAAGGTACTTTCCTTGTCAGACATGCTGGTAAAAAATCTGGACGTTTACTTCCCTTTAAATTTCTCTCCAATGAAAATTAGAGATTCTAAATTCCTTTTTTTAGGTGTGCACTGGCCTTGCCTACATCTCATCCCAGCAAATCGTCCATCGAGATTTGGCGGCGAGGAATTGCCTCGTCTCCGGCGACACTGACATCCGAGTTTGCAACGCTGCTTTCCGTCCTCCGATCACCATCAAAATCAGCGATTTTGGCATGTCGAGAAGGTAAACTTTCATCCGTTATTCTCTTCAATTTTCAGCTCTATTATTTCCCACATAATAATCGCTGGAGGATACGTTTTCCTTTGCGATTATTATATTATTCTCCGATCGCAAACAAACCGATGATCCAATTAACCCACTATTTTTAGGATCTATTCACACGCCGAGTATTATCGCTTATCGGATAAGCAAACAGCGCTGCCGGTCCGCTGGCTGCCTCCGGAATGTGCCAGCGGCAAGTTCACGACAATGTCGGATATTTGGTAAGCGCTGAATTCGAGGAATTCTTATAGTGGGGACCTGATCTAGTAGTAAAAAACGTGCCATTTTGCATCCGGGAAGTATCAAGAATGTGGCAAAATGCTTCCCTCTCCAAGTATAAAAACTTTGTTATGAGAGGTGCGCTTTTGAAATCTGAGTTTTTTCACTTGGAGAGGGTGGTAATTTGCCACATTTTTATGCTTCCTGGATGCAAAATGGTGTGTTTTTTGCCACTGGACATGTCTCTTGTCAAGCATGATAAAACAACCTATAATATGAACTTTCAGGTCATTCGGAGTTGTTCTCTACGAGATCTTTACCTTCGGCAACATGCCCTATGGCGATTTGTCCAACGAAGAGGCCATGTGGGCAATCTTGAAGGGAGTGAAGCCGCAGATCCCCACTGGAGCACCCGAGCCGATCATCAACGTGATGACCGACTGTTTCAACGACCGGCCGGAGGATCGGCCGGTCGCCGAGGACCTGCTCATCCGCTTCAAGGAGATGCAATAGGAATGCGTATTTGCGGGAGAACTGAAGCGGGTCTCTGCATCTTGCTAGTCTTGTAGATGCAGTCTTGGCGTTTCTTGTTGCTTCAAACTCGTTGCAAGCGAAGAGGCCCCTTTTCAAAAATGCCCAAAAATGAAAAAAACTTCTGCAAAGTGAAAAAATATGGTGTGGACATGTTATACGATGAAAAAATTTTCGAAAATTTTTTCTCATCGTATAAAATGTCACTCAAAATTTCGAAAATTTTTCAAAATTTTGTTTATTGTATAAGATGTCACACCTTATTTTTTCGTTTCGAAAAAATTTCTCATCGTATAACATGTCACCCGTCATCTTAAAGGGGGCCTCTTCGGTCTGAATCCTCCAACCTTGCCGTTCCTTAGAGCCTTCGTATCAACTTCTCACGGCCTTCGTATCTTTGCCAGTGGCAGTATTCGGCAGTCATAAAAAAATTACTGCCTTTCACACTAGATTTTAGTCCAAAATCATTGTAAATAAATACTTATCCAACTCCTCTTACGTCTCCTCCACTTCTCTCACAATATCCCGAACATGTTTTCGGAACTCGTTCGGAAAGTGCTGTCAATTTAGCAGTACGCTTTTCCGCCGTACCGCTTCCAGATTCTCCGCACTTTTTGGGCGCTCAAATTCAGGGTTTCCTCCTCTCAAACATTCACCAAACTTGATTGCTACGGGTCGTCTGCGTATTGTGTACATATTCCGGTGTTTGTTGCGAATTTCAATGTACATATGTTGTTCAGTACTTATCTCTTGGCCATTTTTCAAACGTTTCAAGTCTTTTCGTATTGTCATCAGAGAATACAGTCGGCCTGTAAACCATCGTATTGCAAATTTTTGGAGTTTTTGACCCCTAAAAATTGTATTTATAGCCTCTATCACATAATAAGAGTACGATTCTTACATGCCGACTGTACCTTTTTTATTCTCGCCCGGTATTTCTCCGTCTTCTTACCTCGACTGTTATTTATTCGTAATTATCATGAAAACCGATGATCTCTATCTTCGAATAATATCACTGTGAAAGTCTGCTGGTGTTCGTTATACGTTGATGAAGTCTATATGGGTATGTTGTCGCTTTTTACAAAATTCCAATTGTTATTGTAATTTTTAATAAATTTGAAAATATAAAACTTGGTTGGTAATTAAAATCTGCCCAGTGGGCCTGTGAAAGATCCAGAAAATGAGTCATCCAAACTGCATATAGCAAAAATTTAAAATATAAATTTTTTAAGAGAATAGGCAATAAGAGAATAGTAATATATAACTGCTTTTTGTAACACTACCACATTCAAAAGGATGTCATTGTGACCTGTCTTTTGACAAGGTTTTCTAGGCTAAATTTGACGTTTTTCCAGCTGTGATATCACAAAATCTGTTCCATAAAAAAGACGGGCATGATGTCAAAATAAGCGGTATTGCCTGTTTATTACGATAAACTAACGACTGCCATACCGTTCCGGGCTATTGAATTGATATAGACCATTGAAGTACCCATTATAGAAGCTTACTTTAGCAAGCTTCGAAACTGTAACTTTGGCAAAATACTGGGAAAGAATGAGGTTGTGAGCTGAGTTGAAACTCGAGCTTTCGAATGGTATTAAGATCTGCCGAAATAGCATATGTTTTCAGCCGAAATTTGGGAAACGTTTTGGCAATAAAACTTAATTTTTGCGGAATGCCATGAGTTCTCGACCCGTTTTTCTTCAGCTATTTTTTTATGACGTGCCCGCTTGAAATCTTCCAAATCCCGACCTCGTAGCCACATCTAATTCAACCCCAACACTTCTATTACTCATGCTGAACAGCTCCACTCTTACTCATGTTCGCCTACGTTTCGAACCCCTCAAACGCTGACCTTTGTAAATAAACAACGGTTAAATTCGAGTGTTTGCGGAACGTAACGTCTCCGAGTTTTTTTCAAATTTTTTACAATCCTTTTGGCGCGTAAGCAAATATCTTGCGCATCGTGAGTCAGCCCTTCCCTTTCATATAATTGTTTAATCAACACTTGGAAATCGGATTATTCGAAATCGCTACTGTTCTCTGCGCTCTCCGCCAATTGCCCAGTGTTTTGTGCGGCTTTTCCGGAAGTGGGTCGGAGGTTAGAAGTGCTATGTGAGTTTATATTTTGGGAGACGTTATATAGTCGTCTGGCGTTCACGTCGCACTGCAGTCGGTTTGAGGTTTGAGTATGCGGGCGTACTGTATTCTGTTGTTGATTATTGAGGCGTTGGTGGAAGGTAGGTGGGGTGTGATTTATAATTTAATAAAATTCTCTCCTTCTATCTACATAAATCTATAAATAGCTCGGGAATTACAAATCTTTGTATTTCCAGAAAATGTGTCATGATGACACTCCTTTAAAGTACGCCAATGGTATAAAAAACAGCTATATATGGCAACGATTTCTACCTAGAGCAAGTCAAAAAATTCTGGGCCTTTGCAAGACTTGTCACCGCAAAAAATCCAAAAAATCTAGAAAATGTGTCATCCAAATTGTGCACATCAAAGCTGATGAACTTCAATTTTTTATTGGGCACTCTGTAGAGTTCTCCTAGCCATATACAGCCGGTGTTTATGCCATTGGTACATTTGAAACCGGTGTCATCGCGACACATTTTCTGGACACATAAGTATTATATAAGCCCGAAGTCATAATAAAGCTCTACTTTTTTTAGGTCAAGAACCCGTCTCTTCAACCGCCGCTGGTCTTACAAATCCAGAGAATTCCGGGGTTAACTCGGTAGCTCCATCGGAAGAAGCCCTGTCCACAATTTCCCCACTTCCCCAGCTAAACGATGAAGTCGTTGATGACAACGATATTCTACCAGAGTCGGAAACATCTGACATTGCCTCAAATTTGGCGCAAAATTCAGTCGTTGAGCCCATCCGATCAAACACTTTGACAAACACAGTTGTCGATCAACCAGAAGTTCCCTCGTCCCAAAACGGACAACAAAATCAGTTTGGAAATCTGGCTGTGCCTCGACTCAACGGCCAAGCAATGATGTTCCCGCCTGGCATGATTTGTTATTGTTGTCGTATTAATTGTTCGCCGAATGGCGTTCCGCAATACCAGCCGGTTCCGGCGCCTGCTGCTGGAGAGTGGAGTCAGTGGGGAGAGTGGTCGGCGTGCGAGGACAATTTTGGAGGTATGAAAAATGTTTTAATAGTAAATAATATCAGTCTGTCGGGAAAATAATGGGCTATGCCGCTTCGCGGATCCGTCGCTGAAGTGAAATGCAATTTGATTTTCCTGCGACACGATTCATTGTCTAGGCGGCCATGCGATTTTCTATTTAACAGAGAGCTCATTATTTTCCCGACAGATTGATATTCATATTTTCTTAAAGTGCAGTGATAGTTGTCGCTGTCCGTTGCGGCCACAAAGAACCCGTTGTTTTGCACCGTGAATTTCAAGGTTTATACTCCCACACATATTTCTCAGACCACCTTTTAACACGACTGTTAATTGAGCTACATGTTCCAAATTTTAACTCCCATATCAAAAAGAGCTGAAAAACAAGTGGTAAAACGTGGCAGATTATGCTTGCCATGACTAGTATATATGCCAAGTTTCAAAGTGATTGAGTTATATTCATTTGAGGTATGGGTGGTCAGAAATTTATGTCCGGGAGTATAGGAGCAGAAAGATATCAAAAGCTTACCATTTAAGTCCAATAACATGAATTCCCATTCTAGTGACCTCCCAGACTCGTCGCCGCACTTGCATCAGCGGACAATGCATTGGCGGGGAGTTTGAACAGGCCAGAAGTTGTCTGCAGACCCCACAGCAGGATCAGCCGCCAATCTCTCAAAACACTTGGTCGGGTTGGAGTAACTGGAGCTCGTGCAGGTAAAGATAATACATAGCAATAATTTTAAGAAAAAAGTATGATTCTGTCGGGAAAATAATGAACACAATGTCGCTCAGCCAATCGTGTCGCTGAAGTGAAAAAAATCACCTCAATTTTGCCAACAATTCATTATCTCGGCGGCGGATTTTCGATGTAACAGAATGCTCATTATTTTCTCGACAGACCGATATACATATGTGCATATCTTCATTTTATCCTTTCAGCAAATCATGTGGTCCTGGAAACTTCCGCACTCGCGCACGTCATTGCCAATGCGCCAACGCCGTAGCTCTCGAGCAATGCACTTGCATTGGCGAGAACCTTGAACGCCAAGAATGCCCGAATGTCCCCTGTTGTGTTCACAGCCCATGGTCCGAATGGTCGGCATGCTCATCATCATGCGGACCGAACGGCCTCCGCCAAAGGGTCAGAGTGTGCTCTTGCGGCGAGGGAGCCGATTGTGACGCGTTGGGAGCTCGAACCGAACAACAACCATGCGGGTTTTCGGCGTCTTGCCAACCTCAGCGAGACGATCCTTGCCAGAACTGCGTCACCGTGCCGACAGTGCCCACTTGCGTTAACTGCAACAATGTTTGTTCGTATTGTCCGGTGGGGAATACCCTGCCCTGTTACACATGTTTGAGCCGGAAGAAGCGGAGCGAGCTGTTGATGGAGATGGGAGTTATCGGTCGAAGATGAAGGGGGAAGGAATCTTGAATCTTTGTAAATATTACATACTTAAAAGCAGACATGACAATGAATTTAATTTGCAATAAAGAAGGGTCAGTTATCGGACATTTATTTGTAGAAGTCCGATCATATTTCAAGCCCCTCCACAATTTCCCACACCTTCAAAAAACCTAAATAAATTGGGTTTTTTTTGAGCCAGCGGAAGGTATGCACCAACTGCGTAGGCCATGAAACTCAAATCCGATTTTCTCCTAATATAAACCGCCTAATTTGTTAACGCGTTTAGAGCGGTATGTCTTGGAAAAGTCCCGAGAAACAATTATTGTTTTTTTATATCGGGCACGTTCGATTCCATGAGTTTTGGTCCATGCGTCTGGTTGAAAGTGCAAAGTATGTACACGCAGGCATGGCTAGCGGTCGTAGAGCCTGCAGCCATGTCTGGCTGCACAGTGGCAACACTTTTACTTAGTTGCGTTCTGAATTCAAGGGCTCGCCCAAATTCCGAACCACTCCAGACCCGGCTAGGCAGCCATGTCTAAATATATTATATTTCTATGTTTGAGGTACACCCGGGTATATCAGTCTGTCGGGAAAATATTATATGTTAAGACATATGTATACCAATGGGGTTTGGACTCATCGAAAGCGATAATGGCAGGTGCTAAGGTGCAACAAATCTACTTTAATTTCCGACAGAATAATATAGCCTGTCGGAAAAATAATTTGGCAGAAGTTTTTGTTCACAAAATTGGTGGAGTAGCGTACCAAGTCTTCAGTCGAGGAATGATGGGCGATTCAAGGCGCGACGAGACCGAATTATCTTCCCGATAGGTTGATATCTCACACTGGTTCATATTTTTTCATTGGGGAAACTCTGGAATTGAACCTTTGTCCACAACGACTTATATCAGTCTGTCGGGAAAATAATGAGCACTCTGTTGCATTGAAAGTCGCATCGCCGCTGAGGAGATGAACTGTGTCGCGATAAAATCAAATTGCTTTTAACTTCAGCGACGCGATTGGCGCCACGACCTTGTGCTCATTATTTTCCCGACAGACGACATATTGAAAGGATTTTATATTATTGCATTAATCATTTTTGTACCATTATGAATGTATTTACATGTACAAACATGTACTTGATATGAACGGCATTAAACTTTCGGAATGTACTTGATATGAACAAAATTTAAACTTTACGAGTCTAGTACATCAACTCAGACATTCCTTCAGAATAGACCTTTCAGTCATGGACAGCTACATCTCCGTTCTGCCGTCCGAACAAGTCCGGCGTTGTTGCACAGTCTTCAACGTGATCATATGCATAATCAACGTTCAGCTGTATCTCCTCTCAACCGCCATCATCATTAATTGCTCGGGACGAACAGTGGGTGCCTACAAGTGGTAGGTTCATTATGGCACTCTAATTGAATCTGTTTTTGTTGTTACGTATGTACATATACATATTATAATGTTTTTCCTACAAGGATAATGCTGTAGGTATACAATATGGAGTTTCACCAATTCAAATCTCATCATATTATTTTGTACCTGCCTTGAGCCCGAACTCCTGATTAATTACTCGCCTAATGTTGCACGTGGATTGGCCGAATACCTGGAGGTTTGTATGCGCCTCCAACGGGCATAGATATTAGGTTTAGCGGGACTAAGAAGATTTGAGAAGCGACCTACTCTTAACCAGACCGCTGATCGGGCCGGGTATTTGCACCTGAGGGTCCGAAGCCTGGTCTGATGAAAAGTAGGGCCGATCCGGCACGCCTGCAAAGTTCCCCAAGCCCGCTTACAATTTCTGCTTTAATCGGGCCATGCCTGATCCGGCCAAATCATCATAACCCAACGACCCGGCAAAGCCTTACAATTAGTTATCGGAAGCTGGACTAAGAAAGCCGGCTTTGGGAATCAGGAGGCACGTCTGGCTCGGAATCCCGTTATAACGTGAAAATAGGGCCTCTTCTAAAGGCCCTATTTAGAATTTACCGCTTGAAGCGCTGCGTAGGCCGAAGGGTTTCCTAGACCAAGAGGCTTTTTGGAGTCAATCCTAAACTAAACACATGATCTTCCCTCGTCAAAAAGCTTTTTTCAGATGCCTCATCTCGCAATGCTGCTTCAGGTGTGCGCTTATGTCTTCTTCGAGATAAATGTTCTTGTAATGCCCTGCCGTTTTATTTTCCGATACGCCCAAAACACCGATCAACATCATATTGTGCGCTTCATGTCCAAGAAAGAATGGCTCTGTGTTCCGCCGGCCTTGATGATAATCTTTATGATAAAAGGATTGTACATCAACCGTACAGCCATCGAGGATGGCGATCAATTTAAAAAGGAGTTTGCTAGCAACGACACGGCCCTCGCAGATTATGTAAAGAGCCACGTGGTTATGTACGTGAAGGTGGGTTGCTAGTATGTGTCTGGAATTGTAGGCTGTATTTTTGCTTGACAATGGAGTTGTCTCAAGTGCCACGCTCGTTGTTAAAAAATTGTATGAATTGTGTTCACAGGTTTGGCATAGGCCGCAGTTTTTTTTTTAATTTTAGGTCGCACTTTGCAGTGAAAACAATATGCTCAGAAATATTGGCGTTGAGTCTGTTCGGAAAAAGCGGAGAACTTACAGAGAGAAATACGTTTTTTAACCGAGTTTTGTGCGGAAAGAATTAGTTTTTGTGCCCTATGCGATAGAAATGGCTATGAAACTGTTAAGCCAAAACTCGTCAAAAAGCATCGCATTTTCTCCAACGTGTGACCTAAAAGTTGGATCTTTGCTGCAAACCGCAAACTAAGACTGTCAAATTCATCGTAATTAAAATTTGAATCCACTTTCTTCGTCAGTTGCATCAAAACCCAAGCCTCTAACTTAGCGCACTTCCTTGTGAGTCAGTCTGTCGGGAAAATAATGAGCACAATGTCGCTGCGCCAATCGCGTCGCTGAACTAAGAAGCAATTTGATTTTGCCCTAACACAATTCATTTCTTCAGCGGCGATGCGATTTTCGATGTCACAGAGCCTTCGTTATTTCCCCGACAGGCTGAAACGAAGACTCCATTTTTCAGGCGTACAAAACGGACGTCTTCTACCAGAACGTAGTCTTCCCTTCAACGCTGATTATCGCGTTTATTTGCACCCTCAAATGCTACACCTTCCAAGCCTCCCATCGTGCTTCCTTCTCCACACGCACCTCCAAACTCTACAGCCGTCTGATATTGGGGCTGGCCCTGGAGCAGATCATTCTCATATTTTACATCTTCATACCCATAATTTCCGTCAAATGCTTACTGCCCAAATCTCAACGACATATCGGGATGTTCATTGTGGAACGGATTCTTTTCGCATATCCCTCGGTGATAACGTTGTTCACCCTTCTGTTTTACCGGCAATATAGAGTGGCGTTGAAGAATTTCTTGTTCAATCTGAGAACGCAGGTGTCGCCACTGGTTAGCGCAACGTTTCAGTCGCAGGCTTTGATGTCCAAATCGGGCGAATTATCTCGATCAACGTCTTGATTGTTCTGTATATGTCGTTAGGGTTGTTGAATAAAAATGAAAACTAAATAAAAAATGATGGAATTTCGATTTTTTTTCCTGGAGAGCGGTCGGTTTTTCCTGTCTACCCATGCCGCTGCGGGCGCAAAGGGCTTCGCCTGGGAGAGTTGCTGTTCATCCTAATGGATTTCAAGTTCCTACTGTCAATGTTAGATAAATCCAAAACGAGGGAAAATTGGAGCAATTCAAGAAGAGATCAGCATGGTGTATAGGGGGTTCGACATCCCCCTATACACGACCGTTTGGATGAGATGGATCGACGATGCTGCCAAGAATCATGGCCTCCGATGGAGCGATCTTACCCTGGCCGGACAATGGAAACCACGATGATTCACTCTATGATTTTTTTTGCATGTTATTAGTGTAAATAAATTGAAATTTAAATTGAAATTAAAAAAATTATTTGCTATACTAAAATATGTACTAGTCAGTAAGTAAAGTCGTTGGAGTGATCTTTGGCGTTTGTAGACGAGCGACTGCCTAAAAAAGGCCATTGCCGTTATGAAATGCTTAAGAATTTCTAAGGGTATATAGAAAGTACATGTACAATTCTTGGCAAATAGTCACACTGTTTACACGGTTTGTCACCTAGAGCACGTTTTTCATCTGTTGAAGGGCATCTAGACTTTTAGCGTCTACAGGGAACAGCTGAATTACTAGTCCGTTTGATAGTCGTCGGAGTGATTTTTTCGCCGCTCACTGTCCGAGAAAGTATTGTTAGTTGATCTAATATTCTGTAGAATGCACTGACCTTGCGCAACAAAAAAAAATAAAAAAAAAATTGTTGGACGCACAATATGTACATATGCAGATCAGCCCGAAGTAGGACCCAGATCACCACTATGACAAACAATCACGAGTTCAAACACCTTTGAAGCCCGTCAACCCTCTGGGAGTCAGTTGAACTTCAAGAGCAAATCGCACTAGGTCCCACCGCGGAAACACTTATTGGCTTTCTGCAACTACGATGGGATTCAGGAGGAAGGCTAGATCAAATCAGACAACAGAAATAGGATAGGATTTGGTCAAAGGTTGGAGAAGATCAGAAGGAGGACAGAGGATGGACGCCGAGGGCGCGAGCCCTATTATTATCCGTTTGCTGCAATTAGTCTTGGTTTTATTGTCGACTTGTTTACTCTTGCTTGTTTTTTTTCCGACTGTATCGTTTGGTTAGATTAATCTATCATTTGTACGTGTTTGGCGCAAGGTAAAAACTTCAAGTGCAACGTTCAGATTTTGATGAAACTTGAAACGTGCGCTAGGTGACAAACCGTGTAAACAGTGTGTCTATTTGCCAAGAATTGTACATGTACTTGCCGTATACCGTTAAAAATTCACAAGAATTTCATGAACCGGCTTTTTTGGGCTGTCGCGGTGACTTTGTGTGCACAACACAAACGCCAAACATCACTCCAGCGACTTTACGAAAGCACACATATTGTAGCATATACAGTGATCTTTAAGTTTTCATATTCATTCAACAGGCTCGGCTGACGACATGTTTGTCCCGAGTAAGCACATATACAGAACATTCAAGACGTCAATCGAAATGGTTTGTCCGATTTGGAAATGTAGACCTGCGACTGAAACGTTGCGCTGACCAGTGGCGACACTTCCGTTCTCAAATTGAACAAGGAATTGTTCGATCGAAATTCGGCAAGACTGTCACAAATTTTTTGCAAATTTTGGCATGACAAGTTTTGCAAAAATACATATAATTTTTCCGCACGAAACTAGCAAACTGGGAAAGACATGGCCAAACCATATATTATAGTTAGGGGCCCTTACCTCATAATCAAAATAGGTGACAATGATAAATTGAGACACCCCAAAGTATATTTGGTCCAAGGCGTCGTTAAATCGAAGCGCCATATCCCGTAAATGTTGGTAGACTACAATGAAAGCACAATGTGTTTCGGTTATCCGAAGTCACCAAATTGGTTCCAGTGTTCATTGATTTCACAAGCGAAGTCGACTATTTTCTACATCACCTGTTCGAAGACTTTGACCCATAATACTATTCAGACAAGGAAATGTGTGTTGCACAAGACTTTGTGTGCATGAAAGGGTTGTGTTTTTATTGTGAGAAAAACTAATTCTGTTTGTTACAAAAAAATTAGATATTAAAGATCTCCATCGTGCAAGGAGGCCACTTCAACCGATAGTTTAATCCCCTTCAGTGTGTAGATCTCATATATATTTCTTGCAAGCCATCTTCATCGCATTACCATACTTGGGGATGTCTACGAGAAGGCTTATAGTAAGTTCGTAGATTGGTCTGGTTCTAGAATAGCTTACCACCTATTTTGAGGTATTTTACATGTACTCACATCGATAACATCTAGATAAAAAGTTACGGATCTCCATCTTTGGCCGCAATTTTTTGTGATTTATATGTTACAGTAACTCAGGGTAAGGAAAACTGATGTTAGTAATAGCTAAATTCTTATTAGAAGGAGTGCACATATTTCAAGTCTTTGCCAAGTCTCCGCCAAGCCCGCTGACTATCCATCGGCTTTGCCAGGCCTCGTAGGCTCTTCCTACAACTTTCTTTGGGTATTCACGCCAGAATATTTTAGAATAATTTTTTTCTAAAATACATGCGAAAATCCAAGCCAGCGCTTTGCAGAACAGATTTTTAGATCGAAAGTCGGCGAAAATTTGATAATTTTCTCGGAGGCAAAGATCGTTCAATATCTTGGTGGTAAAACTTTCAGGAATTGATATCTATTATAATTCATGACCACGTGTGTGCAAAATTTTACGAAAATCTGAGCGCCACACTTGGGGTGCATCCCCTGTCAGCCAAAAACCAAAGATCGCCCTCCTTAAAAGCCTAAGCCTTCTAATTGTAAGGCATATTACATTCATGGCGTGATGACCTGACTCCGGGGCCTGCAAATTGTAATTTCCACGGAAAGCTCACGTTTCTGCCTTCCTTGTTGTCCACGAATGCCATGCGTTTCGCGTATTCAAATTGCGTGCCCGTGTTACTCAAGCATTCCGCTCCACCTGTCGAACGCAAAATTTGGCCTGTTTCAAGGACTACGAAAACGGCACTCAACTCGATTATATGCCGCGGAATCGAAGGCGCTCGGAATAGAAATCTGTGGGAAGTTACGTGTTTGGGCTGATGAGCGTTGCCTGAATTCAATTTAATATTTGAGATCTTGTTATATTGTTATGTATATTAGTCTGTCGGGAAAATAGTGAGCTCTCTGTCGCACCGAAAGTCGCATCGCTGCTTGAACTGTATCGCGATAAGATCCAACCGCTTTTCACTTCTGCGATGCGATTGGGAGAGCCACGATTTTCTCATTATTTTTCCGACAGACTGACACTAGTCTGTCGGGATAATACCTGCGCCCGGGACCATGTCTACTAGTACTATGACTTTGTCGCATAACCTCACAACAACCCAAGAGTCTCTCGTTTTGCGATTATCTTGGTCATTATGCTAGAATATTAAGATTGAAATCGAACGAAATGTCAGACTATAATATTTCGTCGGGGTTTGTGGGAAAATATTTTTCTTAGAGATTTTTCGATAATTGTGACACCTTGTTTATTTGTCGGTTCGTAAGGTCGCTGGGGTCCTATCGGCGATATGCACGTACCAAAGAGCCGAAGAAAGCATAGTGAGATTTTGTTTTCGCACAGTGTAGGTCACCAGAATCACTTCAGCGACTTTACAGACGGTCTAGAGTCTCTCCAAGGCTCTCCTTGCTTTTAGTCCTCTCTGAATCGCTGAATATCTCTGTTGAGTTTGTTAATAGCAACAAATTAGAGAAAATATGGCTAAAAAGATCTTTTGCTCCTGGCCGTATACATACTAGTCGCGCCATAAGGGCCTGACACACTGCAGCTGACATTGTACTATACAGATAATTTTTGTTTTCCTTTTTGCGGCAATTCCCCGTTTTTGCACTTGCGACGTGCACTTTTGCCCCAGCTCACTACATTTTTCTCGCGACGCCCGCGACAAATGTGTCAGGACTTCATGGCGCGACTAGTACATATTAGGTCGTCCAGAATGTTCGCTCGTTTTTTTTCATTGCTTTGTCTTACAAAGATTGTTTGTTGATTGGCAAGATGTATATCTTTATTTGATACAGCTTTTTCTCCGCTACAAAACTGTGCTTCTACCCTTTTTTCAAGTTTTTTTCACTTGTTTTCGTCTTGTCGTCTCTGCAAGAACGCTGAATATCTTCAGCGACTCCGCAAATCGCCTAGTAAACTTCAGTGTTTGTCGTTGGCCTATGGGTTGGAAAAACACTTGCTCTGGCTATTTAAAGACTGCCCTCCCTTACTTAATTCTTACTTGAGTCTCAATTTTTTAATTACTGCCATTTTCTCCTCTCCAAATGCTTGTTTTGAAACGAGCTCTCGCACCTGACTCTTGCCTCAAATATGTATTCTGGTACGTTTCCCTCAAATTCTTGTAATATCGGCGGCCTTTTCCATTATCATAGGCTCTTCATGAAGTATTAATTCATACTCTTGTTGAGATAATTGTAGCTTCCGTTTGAAGGCACTGCCGGAAACTCTCGTACGGCCCACAGTAACTCCTTAACCTTTAGTCGTTGCAGTTTTGGGCGGGCAATTCGTACGTCTTGTGTGTTTGTTCTTGAATTCGTTGGGAAGGTGGGGATTTTACGGCTTGTTGATATTGAAACTTTTTGGGACGTTATCGTGGTATTATTGCTAGGCTACATAGAGTCATTTGCTTAACAAGGAAGATCTCTTTTTACATGACTTGTAGCGTTAACAAACGCTGGCAACTTGTACACACATAAGGCATAGGCTACGTGTCGATTTCCGAAATTTTTACCTCCCGTTTTACATGCGCAGTGGAGACATTCAACGATCTTTCCAGCCAAAACATCATGCGATATACGGAGGGGCTCATAGAAAAAGCGCTCTTTGCCCATATCTTTGCCAGCTTCGTGCTGAGCAAATTTATTTTTTTGTGGAAACATTGCTCACTTCTGTAAAAAACAGGCATGAAACTTTTCATCTCGGTACGCGTAAAGAACTACAGGGTGAGGCATGTTTTGTATGAAATCTTAATATTCTTTTTTTTCCCTGTATCCTCAGACAACCCCGTTTTGTTTGATACCAAATATGTCATACATAGGTAAGTGTCATCTACAGTGATTGGATTTATTCTTGAAGTTTATTTTTTCGGTCATTTCGGTTGTTTTTTCGGTCTTTCCAGGTGTGGACTGAAAACTAAAGAAGTTATAGCCAATTCAAAACGGGCCACAAAGATGCCCCACCCTGTATGTTTTTGGGCCAACTTTCTATATAAAATCCCGATTGTTTCTGCAAAGCGCGAGCCGGCAGTCTCGCATATTGCTCAAAAAGGATGTTCAAAACCTGTGCCATATTTCATCAAAGTCCAAGCGTCGCACTTAGAGCACTTCCATCGAATTGAGGTCGCTTTGAGATTGTTCTTCGCGTATCATTTCCCATTCAATTTGTCTCCCCATTTTTCCGAGCCATGAAGCCCACAATATTGTGCCAAACAAATGTATGGCAAATTATTGTATCAACAACATCAGACAAAGCCCACTCAAGGATAGGGTACAAACCGTTCTAAATGCTCTGTCAGGCCTTGTCTTGTTATTGAGTGCACGGTCAAGTGGCGGCTGTTGTGCAATGTGAACTGTGCACGGGTTTCGCATTTGAAAAGTTTGGTTTAATCCGATTGTTGTTCTGTTTTTGTTTGTTTTCCACCCCCAATTACTGTCTCCATTGCATATTTGGCTTGCGGTTTATTTTGCAGCGGAAGAATTCCAAGTGCGGCGGTTAAAATTTTAATGAGACTTGACACAAATTTAGAGAAATTTTTGTGAAGGCACAGGCAAGACTCTTAGCTTGCGCTTTGCAGAAATCACCGCGATTTTTATATAGAAAGTTTATTGAAAAAATGAAATTTTTTTTTGTAAATTTTGACACGAAAAGTTTTACAGCTATTTCTACCGTTGAGTATAAAGTTTCCACAAAAAATCAGTTTTTTCTATGCGAAACTGGCAAAGTTGCGACCAAAAAGCGTAAAAAAAAGTTCGGAATGATGTGCCATAGGGAGTAATGTTTCCACTAAAAAATCAATTCTTTCCTCTACAAAATTACGGGCAAAAAGCAGTTTTTCAACCCTGACCGCTCTCCACGTTTAGCGTTCTCTCTCGGCGGCAAAAATCGTTTGATATCTCGGCCACCCCTGCAAAGCGCAAGCTGAAATTTTCAGTAATTGATATGTAACCTATACCGAATGCATGTGCAAAATTTGAACCCTAGTCCGAGCGTCGCACTTGAAATATTTCCCATGTTAATTGCCGTGGCAAATTGCGCCCTTTCTCATTTCCCTTTCAAAGATTCGCCTAAATATCCATGTATGTTCCAGCGTCAATGCAAAATATCACATTCTACGACGTGAACCTGCCCTCAGACAGTCTCCGACTCAATTTCTCGGTGTATTCCTGGCTTCTGCAGCCCGTCAACTGTCTGATCTTTGTGCTCACAGTGCTGGTCATATTACAATGCTCTCCCAAATCGATGGGTTCATATAAATACTACATTCTGTGGAGCGTCTCGAACACATTTGCCAGCATGTTGGCGTTTTCGATGTACGAATGCGAACTGTTGCCGCCATATGAGGTGGCCATTGCTAGAGGCCTGCCGGAGGCGTTGGATGTAAGTGTGAAGCCTTTCGTGGAGGCTGGAAACTGTGGACTACAGAGAAGGCTATACGTAAAAAATGTCATGCAACGAAACCTGTATATAACGAAGATTTTTGGAGGCCCAAATTTCGAATTTTAGGTGAATGGGAGAGGTATTACGACGTTCAGATTTAGATGATATTTAGATGATACTTGGCACAAATTAAGAATAGCTTTTTCTATCCTTATATGCGAGCCTCTAGCTCTCACTTTGCAGAAACGACCGAGATTTTTTATTATCGGAAAAAACTTTTGGTTCACTCTAATATTTTGCGAATTTTGTCATGGAGGATTTCACACATATTTTTCACCGTAATTGGTAATGTTTCCACAAAAAAATCACTGTTTTTCTGTGGAGAAGCTGGGAAAAGATATGGCTAAAAAAAATTTTCTGACCGCTCTCCGCACTTTCCGTACTCTCGGGCCGCAAAAATCGTTGAATATCTCGGCTGCATATCCCGAGCTAAAACTTTAAGGAATTGATATGTGACATAAATACACCTGACGTGTGTACAAAATTTTAAAAAAATTGTGCCGCATTTTGTGTACTTCCCTATAAAATGAGCCTTCGTACAACGAACCCTCTCTATAGCGTATTTATTCTTCGGTCTGCTGAAACCTACTGTACTGAGGTCCAACTAGCAAAAAACAATTGTAAACTACATTCAAAGAGAGCCTTGTTTTCAGGCCCCCTTCCTCTCCGTCTTCCTTCAAATCATGGCGTACAGCTGCTTTCAAATGAACATTCTCATCAACATTTGTCGTTTTACATTTCGCTTCGCCGAGGCCACCGGCCAACAGAGCATCGTCCAGACGCTGTCGGATCGCCGCTTCTTCCTCGGCCTGCTCGCAGTGTTCTTGGCAATCGTATTCGCCGGCTTGTTTACCAACTCGGATGCGCTCGAAAAGGGCGGCGCATTCAAGCGCGACTTCCCTGGCAACAACATGGCACTGCGCAGATATGTCACCGACCATATACTGGTTTATACGGAGGTATGTTGCTAACGAAATGGTTTATTAATAGGAAAGGTAATTTCATGGAATTTTGGAGAGATTCGGAGAGTTCTTTGAACTATTTGGAAATCTTAGGTTATACACTTAGAGGCCACAAGATACGTTTAAAATTTACAGAGACAGCGTTCCAAGTGGGACGCTCAGATTTGGATGAAACTTGGGACAAATTAAAAATATTTTTTTGATGAAGCGTATGTGAAATTCACAGCTGCGCATTGCAGAAACGAGCAACATTTTTAGGCCGAAAATTGGCCAGATCCCATATCTAGATATGGGACTTTTTTCAAATTTTGACGTGAAAAGTTTGTTTCATGCCTGTTTGGAGGGTAATATATTGCCCACAAAGAAAAAATTTTTTCCACGCGAAAATATCGAAGATACGGCCAAAAACTTGTTTTCTCTGGCCGCTCTCCCCCTTCCATGTGCTCTCTCGGCCTGAAAGATCAGTCAATATCTCGACTGAACCAGCAAAGCGCGAGCTAAAACTTTCCGGAATTGATAGGTGACGTATGCTTGGCGTGTGTGCAAAATTTAAAGAAAATTTGAGCGTCGTACTTGGAAGCCTTCCCTTATTAATACAGTGCGTCCCAGGTTTTTGGTTCTACCCCATTTTTTGATCATATCTCGGGGGGTTTCTTCTCAAATGCCTTGAAATTTTACACAAGTGTTAATCAACCTTTAAGAATAAGCTATGCAAAGTTTCATCTCATTTGGCTTCAGTAATCTGACGTTATGGCGATTTTTTTAAAATTTTGGGTGCCCCAGGTTTTTGGTTCAACTTGGAAATTTGCGAGTTTTTTAGTCCGGTTTTGAACCAACCTGCTCTTAAACAATTTAAAAGAGATTGTGAGAGTTCTTTGGTCTATACTTTCGAATCTTAGGCTGCAGAACATAAACCTATAGGGTCCAAGAGATTTTTTCAATCTAATTTGGCGTTTATATTTCAGAGCAATTTTCTCGAATACGTCATCCAATATGCCATTTTCCCGATTGGACTCCTCTTTTCGGCCTACTGTGCTCTCTGCTGCTACCGTTTTCAACGCTCTGCCAGCTCGACGCTTAGCGAGCGGACCCGCCGGATGTACTACAACCTCATCAACGCACTGATTATTGAACAGGCGTCGGTGATTTTTTGGGTCCTCCTTCCGCTGTTGGTGATTCTTCTCGCCGCCCAAACTCGTCACTCGGTCGTTGCCGCCTACATTTTTGTCCGCATTTTGTACATGTACCCCACGTTTGTCATGCTGTTCACGTTGACGTTCTACAAACGCTATCGGTACGCGGTGTTGCGGTGCTTCCTGGGCGTCTCGCGGAATCATCAGGCCGCGAGTTCGGTGGGATCGAGTAGTGTGGTTACGCTGTCTAAACCTTCGTCTTCTTTCCCGAGGAACACGTTGACGGCGACGTTGCCTAATGGAGGAAACCGTGCGATCTAATGCACGCATATATGTACATATTATAATATTTATTCCCTTCGAATTTGCATATCCCGTTGTTACAATAAACATTAATCGTTTTTTGAAAATTTAACCAGAAGTGTTGTTAAATAAGGACTCATTTTTACGGAGCTCAAAGTTCATTAGCATATTATTATGATAAGACTTACCAAACATTTAGATTTATTTTATGGAATTTGCGAGGTTAGTAGCAGAGATCGCCACGGACAAAATTCCGGCGCCCGGCTCCCATGCAAAATTTCAAAAGGTCTCCAGCACTGGAACCGGCTTCCGCGTAATTTTTTTTTAATTTTCAAAAAATAAAACAAATGTTTTTGAGCCAAGTCATAAGTACGCAACACATCCTTCCCAGTATTTTTCAAGCAATTTTTTAACAAAATGACGAAATTTTCATCTTCTGAAAGCTGACAAGCCTGGCTCCGACTTTGGGGTCGGAGAGCCGGAGCCGGACTCAAAATTTCCGTCTCCGGAGCCGTGGCAATCTCTGGTTAGTAGCTTGTGGTTTGCAGAAACGGCAGAGATTTTTAGATCAAAACTCCGCAAAATCCAACACTTTTTTCAAACTGTAGCATAAAAAGTCACTTGCCTATTTCTCCCGCAGATGGTAACGTTCCCAAAAAAATAAACTTCTTGTATGCGAAACTGGAAAAGACACGGCCAAAAAGTATGTGTCTCCCCCGCTCTCCACGTACAGTGTACTCTCTCGACGAAAAAAATCAATTGAATATCTGGGCTGCGCCTGCAAAGTCCGAGCTAAAATTTTTTAGAATTGGTATGTGACCTATACCCGACGTGTTTGCAAAATTTAAAGAAAATCTGAGCGTCGCATTTCAAAAACATCTTTGTGAAAGGATTTGCAAGGCTTCTAGATCGGGTTATGTAGAACCAGCCATGAGTGTTACAGTTGGAGAGCTGATCCAGTGGAAAAAAACGTACTATTATGTATCCGGGAACTATCAAAAATGTGACAAAATCCTTCCCTCTCCAAGCGAAAAAACTTCGTTTTGAAGGGCGCGCCCTTTTTCCTCACAAAAAAGAACTTGAACGCTTTTGAAATCTGAGTTTTTTTCATTGTAGAGGGAGGTATTTTGCCACATTTTTTGATGCTTCGTGGATGCAAAATGGTACGTTTATTGCCACTGGATCAGGTTCCCCACTATATGTAGGTCCGAAACAGAGGTTGCCACGGTCAAAATGTCGGCTCCGGCTCCGGCTCTTAGCTCCCAGAGCCGGAGCCGAGGCCAAATTTGCAGCTCCGGCTCCGGCTCTTGGCTCCGTGCAAAATTTAAAAAGGCCTCCGGCTCCGAATCCCGGCTCCCATGCAAAATGTTTTTTTAAAAATATTTTTCCAAAAATAAAAGTTATTAGTGCCAGAGATCATACAGCCAACGTTTCTGCAGTCAAGTCACATCCTCCGCAGTGTTTTTCAAGCAATTTGGTTTAACAATATCACGAAATTTTTACTTTTCTGACCGCTGGGAAGCCTGGCTCCGACTTTGGGCTCGGGAGCCGGAGCCGACCCCAAAATTTCCGGCTCCGGCTCTGGCTCCCGGCTCGGAGCCGGAGCCGCTCAGAGCCGGAGCCAAGAGCCGGCTCCGGAGCCGTGGCAATCTCTGGTCCGAAATCATGACTCTTCATTTATACGGCCCCAGCATCATTTTAAAATTAACCCCACCATCTGACCCAGTCACCAGACCCGTTAACACGCATCCTCCCACAAAGTTCAATAAATCACTTTTTTCGGCGTCTGGACAAGCTTTTCGTTTCTTCAGAGCTCATAACAATCCCTAAACAGCTGGTCAAGGAACGGCTGTACGAGAGTAAAAGGTTTGAGTTCCGCACGACTTCAAACCGATCCCAATGCTCTTTAATCATCATGTTTTTTTCGATCTGTTCGGACTTATTTACTCAGTTTCTCCTCTATCCATTTACAGTGTGTGGGAGGGGAAATCTTTACAAATAAATTCCACACCGTTGAAAGAGTGGTGGTTTCTGAAACGGCGGGATGTAGGTCGTAGGCTGCGATCCAATAAAGTTCTTTGTCAAGACTGCAGCCAACGTCGGAAAACTCGCAAACAATGTGCATAACTTGCATAACATGCCGCTATAAAGCCGGTGATTTTCAGGCCAAAAATTTCAAGATCAACAGGGTTTGTCAAGGTTGAAATTCGGGGGAAAACTTTCTTATTCTTTGCGCTTTCCCTTTCTTATTGTCATCACCCACATGTCTGCCCCCCTTCAACGGAATTCAAAGAAATTTTCAGCCCAAAAAAGTGTTCAGCTCTTGCCTTTGTGAGTGTAATGTTTACCCATGAAGTGGTCATTCCCAATAATAACTTTGATCACTTTTTTCCGTCGACATCCATTGTCCGGCGGGGCTTATAAGAAGACGGATCAGTCTTCCATTCTCTCCCCCCTATTTTCCTTTTTTGGGTTGACTTTCACACCGCTTCACAGAGGGCTTTCCGCTGTTACAATACCGCTTTTTTCCGGCAGGGGGATGAACGGGTTCCGTGCGAATTTTTGTAAGATGCCTTTGGGAAACCGTCGAAGGAAAGGGAAAAAGGGATGGTGAAGGTGTTAAGGATGGGAAAAGAGGTGTTGTTTGTACAATAGTGAGTTTGCTGAGACTTTTGGTGAGAGGGTGGATCATTTTTCATTAATTTTATTTATGATGGTATTGTAGATAAAGGCAAGCTTTACAGACAAAATTCTAGGCAAGGAAAGGAGGCCAATATTTACAAATTACAGTGAAAACTTTGTACAGTGAAAGCTCATATAAGCCTTTCGACAACAAATGAGTTTAGAGGTAACAAGAGTTACACTACTCTTTCCAAAAATGAACTTTAGCAAAATGAAACCTCTCTATAGCAAACATTTTATTTTAAATTTTATACGTTTTGCTATGCAGGGGTTTGACTGAATTTATCTTGTTGTACAGTGCACTGTAATGACTAATTTTGACCTAAAATTGATTCTTGTGATTTCTGAAATTGTTGGTTATGCAGAGGTTTTTCTGTATAGAGATTTGTTAACTCGAGTTGAGAAAATCATTCAATGATTTCTTGAGCTCTTCCTCGGTTAACCGCATTTTTCTGACTGCCCTTTTCACATTCATTCAAGACAGACTGATAAAAGCTATGGTACTGTAGATTTGATATCGTATAGGCCGTCTGAAATCTCTAAAAAGTTTCATAAAAGTTTTGCCTATCATTTACAATATCCTAGTAGTCCTTTATTGTCTAAAAATCGTTCAATTCTAGTCAATTCAGCAACTGTTGTCAAGATTACAACAAACCATTCATCATTTTCGTTCACCCACATCACAGGGAAACCCGCAAGTGTATTTTGCTCAAAAAATTCATAAATGGTATTACACTTTTCACCCACCGCATGACGGCCTTGGTGCGCATTGACGGGGGAGTTTGACTCTATTCGGGAAACCCGAACGAAACTGCGTCTTTGGATCGAGAAATCATAACCTCGGCAACGTGAAGCGATCTTCAAAAGTTGTTGTTCATGAAATCGGTTAGAATATTGGTATTATGGCGAGCCTGTCAAGTGGCCAGTTAGAAATATAAATACAGTAGGGGACCTGATCCAGTGGCAAAAAACGTACCATTTTGCATCCGGGAAGTATCAAAAATGTGGCAAAATACCTCCTTCTCCAAGTGAAAAAACTCAGATTTCAAAAGCGCGCCCGCTCTTTTTTGTGAGGAAAAAGGGCGCGCCTTTCAAAACCAAGTTTTTTTTCACATGGAGAGGGAGACATTTTGCCACATTTTTGATACTTCCCGGATGCAAAATGGCACGTTTTTTGCCACTGGAGTAGGTCCCCCACTGTAGTAGGGAATATCGGTCTGTCGGGAAAATAATAAGCACTCCGTCGCATCGAAAAAAGCATCTCCGCCGAGAAAATGAATTGCGTCGCGGCAAAATCAAGTTGCTTTTTGCTTCAGCGACGCTATTGGTGCAATGAAATTGTACTCATTATTTTCCCGACAGACTGATTGTAAATATAGTACATATGGTCTTTGTGCAACGTCTGGATTTTGATGAAGCTTGCTTTTCTAAGAAATTACTGGCTTGCGCTTTGCAGAAATCGCTGAGATTTTCAGCTTGAAAGTTCGAAATTTTTTTCTTGCTACTTTTGGTATGTAAAGTTTCATGTCTATTTTTACCGTTGAACGTAATGCTTTCATAGGAAATATGATTTTTTCAACAATCAAATCTATGGCCTAAAAGTTTTTCTCTCTGACCGCTCTCCGCGTTTTGCGTACTCTCTCAGCCGCAAAGTTCGTTGGATATCTCGGCTGTGCCTACAAACTCCGAGCCAAAAATTTCCGGAATTGACGTGTAGCATATACCCAATGTATGTACAAAATTTAACCGAGATCTGAGCGTTGCACTTACATGCACTTCCGCTGTTTGCAAACGTGAATCCTGAAGGAACGTTAGTGCATCATTTGTTGTCCCTTGACCTTTCCGGTGTGATTAATTTGCTGTTAATTGCACTATAGAGCTTCACCGAGCTAGCATCTGTTCGTTTGAATGAACAAATTTTTTAGTAAGCTCATATTATACGTAGTAAGATATGATCCTCGGGAAGTAAGAAAAGTAAAATATTATAGTGTTCACCGGTTTTATCAACGAAATGAGGTGTTTCCGTCGATGTTTACGAGTCGTTGCCTTTTTTAGACTTTGTTATTACGAAATAAAGCAGTAGACTTTACTGCTATAAATTACGTAAGTTAAAAGAAATAGCGGTTTAGAGGTAGCTATACGTTAAAGAAATACTCTTAAACCTCGTCTTGCAAGTGACATAAAAATCTTTCGTTATAGAGAGGTTTTTATACGAGGGCAAACTTTGCCTATTATGGGGGTAAACCTTGCCTATAAACGACCTTTCTACAGCCAAATTTGTCCGTTATAGAGAGGTTTTGTTGCCCACAAAATCTTGCGTGATCGGAATTTATTTTTATTCAATTATTCTTTGCTCTGTCCGGGGCCAATGAAAATGGTGGAAATACGCAAAGTCATTATCATAACTGTTATGAGCTTGTGTGTGATTGCGGGCTTCTTGTGAGTTTAATGGTTTAAAAGGGCTGATTCCGTTCCTGAACGTTCTTATGAGCGCTGTGTTTAATTAATTTTGCTTTTATAAACTTTTGAGCTATGAAAACTTCAGTCAAAGCTCTGTAGAACGAATTTTTGGGCCTCAAAATTTAAAGCAAAAAGGTCAAAGGTCAATACGGGAGCCTTATTGAACGTAGACCCGTCATATTTAATGGACAAAAAATGGTGTGTTTTGGCTTGTATTTGATGTAAATTGTGTAGAAATTTGTGGATTATAGGTGGGAAAATATTTGAAATAAAGTTGGGAGCGAGCCTTGTAGAACATTTTTGCTATAAGTAGTTGGGGGTAAAATTGACCTGTAACGGGTCCTGCTAGTAACATACACTGACTTTTGACAAAAGCTGATACCTTTCAAGAATAACTCTCTGTAGGAAACACTCAAGGTGTGCCGTGAAATTCAGCTGAAATCTGTCGCGTTTAACCTACAAAGTGCATGCATCTTTTTATTGAAGGATCCGTTCTAATTATGACGTCTTTATCTTTATTTTTTTGTATTTTCTATTTCTCTCAAAAGAATCTCGAGCAGAAAAATCAAATCTAGAGACTATAGGTTTACCAAGTCTGCAAGAAGTGGGGAAGCCCGCTGATAAAAGAACAATACAAAGCAGAAAGTTTGGCAATCCTGATCGAAATACTTTTGAATACTATATAATACAAAAAGCCTTCAGTATTACATGCTTATTGATTTTTAACCGACGCCAGCCGATGATTATTTTGCAGGGAATTGGGATTTTTTGAGTTTTTTTTGTGAGATAAATATGTACAGTCAGGCCTCAATATAGCAAATCACGACCCTTTGCGAGGGGCCAAGCATTTTTGTTTGTTATATAGGGCTTTGTTGTTAATTGAGGATTAAATTTGACACTTAGGACCTATGAAACTGTTAGTTTTTTTGCGGGGTTTCGTTGTATAGAGGTTACTAATATAATATCAGTCTGTCGGGAAAATAATGTGGGCTTGTTGGAATCGCCCTTGGTAAAAGTTCCTTATTTTGGCCACAACTTATAACTTTGCGGAAACTGGTCGGAGTTAGCCCAAACTTAGCGCGCACGCTCAATTCATCGTTGTCAATTCCCGGACAGTGGGTTTAGTTAGCGAGGTACCTTCTTTTTCACGTACCACCTTACCCTTCAAAAACGGCTGCAGCCTGCGGTTTTACATTTTATACGATGAAACATGTCCGGAAATAAACTTATTGCCTCCGTGTGGAACTAAATGAGTCGTCATAGCGTTCGTGGGTACCCTTAAAACTATAGAGCTATTATAGTAATTCAGTTCCAGCTAGGTCGAAGCGTTTTTTTCCTAACTTTAGTGCCCAAGCTTGGGCGCCGTTCGCGGAGTACCTTTGTTGTGGCCAAAATAAGGAACTTTTTCCTCGCCCTTCTTCGCTTTGTGAGGGCTAGCTGCGGCTAGACATTTGTTGTGCAACTTGGAGAGACGAGAAATTTTTCAGCGATGATTCCACAGTATTATACCGACAGGCTGATAGCACTTCTATATATTTAAAATGGGTTGAATTTTTTGCTGCATTTTGCCTCAGTGCATTCTCTCGAGAAATTGTCCGAAGAAGCTCAAAATTTGGATGCGCAATACAAAATAAGGGTTTTCGTTTCGTAAAAAAATCTACGCAATTCATCGAAACCCGAGTATACTGTATTTTAGTAGTGGTTTCTTGACTTTCTCGACTTTCAGTTGACCAAAAAACAATTTCTCGTTAAATTCCGTCAGTCCAGCCCCGCATCAAAGCCTCCTCCCCGCCGCAACGGTACGTCCCAGCCTTCGGAACGGTTGTGGGTTGAGTTATTACGCAGCGAGACTTCAACTCCCATTTGCTTCCCATTGACGGAACAATAAACCCGAAAAGGCGGTATATAAACTTAATTTCAGCGAACCCGGGCTCTTCCTCTCGTCACGAATTCCCTGCGGGGGGTTTTTCCACATTGTATCAAATTCGCGAGGATTTGATAACAGTGTGAAGCGGGGGGATCAGACGATTTTTTGAGGCGGCGGGCTCCGCGAGGGGATTCATTCGTTAATTCTGAGGAGAGCTTCCTTATTCGGCTTTTTGGAGGCCTGTTTGCTGATATGTGTATGATAACTACCTGCCGGGAAAATACCGAGCACTCTGTCGTATCGAAAATCGCATCGAGAAAATGACTTTTGTCGTGGGAAAATCAAATTGCTTTTTACTTCAGCGACGCGATCGGCTCAGCGATATAATGCACATTATTTTCCCGACAGACTGATATTTCACCCAAGGTTATTGAAGCCACATGAGGGCTCTTTTCATTGTTGTCTTCATTCCACACTGCCGCGGCCACCGGCGCTGATGACCTAAGAGTTATCGCGCTTATCGTTGTACAGGGGTGACTAATATAATATCAGTCTGTCGGGAAAATAATGTATTATAGATTCGTGGGAATCGCCCATGATCGCTTTGTGAGGGCTTACTTCGGCTAGAGATTTGGTGCACGACTTACCCGAGTCCTAGCGTCCCGATCGAAGATCGAGGAGAGGGGGGAAAGCTTATAACTACGGCCGGTTGTGTTTGTAATAAAAAATGTATGTAATTGTTTGCCGGTAAGGTTACTTGATTATTGTATAAAAAGTAAGGGGTGACGCCACTCAGGTACGTGGAAAGCAATGACATATGTACTAGGCTCGAGGCTAGGTCAATCCATCGGTCAGCCCCAATCCCGTAAAAAGAGGGGTGTGTCACAACACTTTTCAACCTTTTTATATGCTGGAATTGAACCGTCTTACTACCATTTTCATATGTTAATCAGCCGCTAAAACAGAGTTCGTTATTGCAGGTCAAGTAAATGACCGCAATGAAAACTTTGCAAGTCTCTGGAATTTTGAGCTTAGAATGACATGCTCATTTACAAACGAATATAGCCAGTCAATAAGCTTGCTTATTAGCTCAAAAATGCTCAAGCCAAAAAGTTTTTGAAACCGTGTGTAATAATATTTATTTTGTCGATATTGATGAACCCTATGATAGGCTCACCTCGTGGTGGGGTTTCTTCCACAAGCCACGTATTCGACACTTCCTGATGTCATATTGCTCTTGTTCGCCGTATGATCAGCCGTTTTAAAAACGCCCGAGGGTCTTTGATCTTCTCGAAATATTAAACATATCAGTCTGTCGGGAAAATAATGAGCACTCTGTTGCATCGAAAATCGCATCGTCGCCGAGGAAATAAATTGTCAGTTCAGCGACGCGATTGGCGCAGCGACATTGTGCTCATTATTTTTCCGACAGACTGATTGATAGTATTTGACGCCATCTTTTTTACATTAGGCCTTTCATAAAGTTTTTTTTTCTTGCGGCCCGCACAGAGCACAAAAAACATATGATTTTGCACCGTTTTTTTTCGGTTGTCGTCCTCTGCATCGCCTAGAGGATGAAGATTTTAAGAGTTTTTGTTTCTAAACACTACTTTGTGAAGCCGGGCTAGAGTCTAAATTTGAAAACTTGAAACAAGACTCTGTGGCGACATTAAGTTCATTATTTTTCCGACAGACTGTCATTACATTCAGCGACACTTTGTCAACTAGAGAGTACGCGAAATGCGGAGGGCAGTCGAAGAAAAGACGTTTTTTGACCTTATCTTTGCCAATTCTTCAATGAAAAAATCGACTTTGCAAATTGATAAAAAAAATCCTTGCTAGCTGTTAGAATTCCGTGCCGTGTTTTTGTTCCCCGCTTTCGTGCTTCTTCAAGGATTTCTACACATATATGTATAATTTACACTTATTGTAATTCCCAACTTTCAGACATGAAACACTTGACGAAGCCACCAGAATCGGTGGAAAAGACCCCATGGATGTCGATCGTAATCGTCACAGCCATGGCCATTTTCACATCCATACAGTCCGGCTTATACTACAGTTCGATGTGGCCGTATCTGCAGAAAGTGAGTGGCTTTTTTGATGACATTAGAGTACATGTTTTACCATGATAACTACGTTAGATTTCGCTCTGAACGTTCAATCTTTGATAATCGCCCGCAATCTTTTTTTCAATTTCTTTACTTTCCACTAATTTTTACACTTTGCAACACCCGTTCAGCCAACTCTGACGGATCGCGGGATCGATCCGTCCTACATGCCCAATAATTGATTACGGACCTTTCGCGGCGTTCCTTTCAAGTCTTTCTTTCCCAAACAGCCTTTAAAGTTCATTATGAAAAATATTACACCGGTCACTTACGTGACTCCACATAGTTACGAAATCAGAAACGCCTGGGGATGACTGGACCTTCGGCGAAGTGCGTAGGTGGCCGTTGAATGGTGCAAAAGTGATGTGATATTATACGTGTTTTTCAGCATTCTGTAAGAAAGAAAAAAGTGACCATCAGTCTGTCGGGAAAATAATGAGCACACTGCCGCTGCGCCGATCGCTCAACTGAAAAGCGAGCCGATTTTTTGTTTTGATTTTGCTGTGACGCAATTCATTTTCTTGGCGGCGGCGATCTTATTATTTTCCCGACAGGCTGATATCTTCTTGGTAGCTTGACCAGATATTCGGCTATTTTTTTGACGATTGACGTGAGACACCCTTTTTTTGCCTTTCATATGTCTCCATCATCAAAGGCACCCTGCAGATAATAACAATTTATTTTTTTAACTTCTTGCCATCTATGTCACACGTTTGCACTTTTCCCGTAAACAACCATTGAGTGCCCCACCATGACTCATCCATCAACAAAACTTGTAAACACCTAAAAAATGCTGGTGATTCCCATGACATTGTAACCGTCAGACCACAAGTTCGCAAGTACGCGTTCGCCAAACTCGCCCGAGGTCTGCGCTCTCGTGAGAAAAAAGTCAGGCGGTGTAAAAAGCGACCATGATCGAGGAAGTTTAATCGTACAGCGGGGTGTTTGATCTATTACTCAAATCGTTTCGACTGGTTAGTGTTTTGTCATGAGGTCATAAGGAATCATAGGCGAAATTAAACATGTCTTTAGGGCTGGTCCGTTCCGGCCGGGATTTATGAAAAAGAAGGGTCTGAATTTTTGGTCCGGCCCGGAAAAATAGAGTTTTTTAACGTAAGAAAAAGTAGTTGGAGAAATGAGGAGCAAATGTCTTGCAAGCATACGAAATGATGATTATCGGCCTGTCGGAAAAATAATGAGCACACTGCCGCATCAAAAATTGAATCGTTCATAATGACCGAGAAAATGAATTGTGTCGCTCAAAATCAAATTGTTTTTCACTTCAGAAACGCGGTCGGCGCAGCGAAATTCTACTCATTATTTTCCCGACAGGCTGGTAAATTAAAGCAGTATTGCAATATATTGCTTTTGCAGCTGGTTTTTGCAATTTTTTATGAATTCAAGGAGGATTTATCAAATCTTTATCCATAACATTTGGATAAAAACTAAAAAAGTTATAGCCAATTCAAATCCGGCCGAAAAATTGCCGCACCCTGTACATATTTACATTACCAGGTCCAATTGAGCCGGTGCCGACAAAAATTTGAACCCCTGACTTTTCCTGCAGAGTACAGCGACTTTATGAACGGACTGGTCCCCTCTTTTTTCAGAGTTCATAAACTCACTGCCTTTTCTTCAATTGCTTTTTGAAAGCCTCACGTTTCGGACTGTCTGAACTCTAAAATTTAGAATTCATTTTTTTTTTCACTAGATTGTAATCCCTCTTCTTGTCCAATTGCGGGAAAACTTCCCCCGCAACCCAAAACTCTTTGATTCAGCGGACGGGGAAACCGAACCTCTCTTCTTTTCGTTGATGGATGAGTGCGAAAATTGCGGAGAACAATTATTAATCGAGTCATAACACAAAACGAACTGAACAAACAAGAAGTTGGTAACGTTACAGCAATATTATGAACAGTGTGAACATGCAACGAGGCGAATTCTGATGTGTGATGTATAGTAAAATAGAAAAAGGCATATCAAAAAATATAGCAAGCAGGCCAAAGATTGGCAACTAAAAAATTCATTCCTACAAGCGTTTTATCATCAAAAATCTTTTACAGATTGACGTCGACGCCACCGAATCATTTCTCGGTGCAATCATCTCGATCTACTCCTTCGGGCAGATCATCGCCTCGCCCTTGGTGGGCTGGTATTCCAACTACTTGGGCACTATCAAAGTCCCCGTCTCGATATGCATATGTCTCCAGATTCTGGGGAATCTCATCTATTTTTACGCGCAAGCGGCGCCTACCCATTGGGGGAAGTACATCATGATGTTGGCCAGATTTGTTCTTGGATTGGGATCGTGTAAGCAAAATTTGAGTTGATTTTTTTGAATATGGAAGGCTGAAAACTGCGACACACAGTTTTTCTGTAAATTTTGCTCAAACGTCGGGCATGGGTCACACATCAATTCCTGAAAGTTTTAGCTCGAGCTTTGCAGGCACCGCCGAGATATTCAATGTTCTTTTGTGGCCGAGAGAGCACGCCAAACGCGGAGAGCGGTCAGAGAGAAGAACACTCACACTTTTCCGCTATATTTTTGCCAATTGCATGCGGGAAATTTTTTATTTTTTGTGGAAACACTACCCTCTACGGTAGAAATAGGCATGAAACTTTCCATTCAACATGACATTTCCTCCGACTTTTGCCCTAAAAATCTCAGTCGTTTCCGCAAGACATGAGCTAGGATTTTCACATATATCTTATAAAAAATAAATCTAAATTTGTGCCATGCCTCATCAAAATCTGAGTGTCGCACTTGGAGTACTTCCCATTACTTCCCCTGCTAGTTTTACTAGCAATTTACTCTACATTATTGTCTGTTTACCAAACCACTACACTACAAACCACCACAATACTATTTCCACCACTTTCAGCGAATCTCGCCCTTCTCAACACCTATGCTTGTACAGCATCAACACCACGTTACAAGAGTCGGACAATCGCTCTGGTCACGGGTGGAATTGCTTTGGGTATTAGTCTTGGCCCAGGAATTCAGTTATTCTTCCTGCCTCTGGGCAAAGACGGAATCAAAATTGCCGAAAATTTGTATCTCAACTTGTACACCGCTCCTGCTGTTGGAGCTTGTGTGGTCAACGTGTGCGCGTTGTCCTGTTTACTCTGTCTGTTCGACGAGTCGTATGCTGGAACATTGCCCCAGCCGAAAACAGTAAGTTAAGGGGGTGAAAGGGGATGAGTATTTTTTCGTCAACCACAGTTCGGTCGGGGATTATATGTACTTTGGGTGTCCTCTGCCAGCCGTTTCATGCATTGGAGAAGCTACGTGAAGGCTTAGTTTGATAGAAATATCAAGTTTGATTAGGCCCTAGGCAGAGATTGCCACGGCTCCGGAGCCGGAAATTTTGGGGTCGGCTCCGGCTCCCGAGCCCAAAGTCGGAGCCAGGCTTCCCAGTGGTCAAAAAAGTAAAAAATTCGTGATCTTGTTAAACCAAATTGCTTGAAAAACATTGCGGAGGATGTGACTTGACTGCAAAAACGTTGGCTGTATGATCTCTGGCACTAATAACTTTTATTTTTGGAAAAATATTTTTAAAAAACGTTTTGCATAGGAGCCGGGATTCGGAGCCGGAGGCCTTTTTAAATTTTGCACGGATCCAAGAGCCGGAGCCGTAGCTGAAAATTTGGCCTCGGCTCCGGCTCTGGGAGCTAAGAGCCGGAGCCGGAGCCAAAATTTTGACCGTGGCAATCTCTGGTCCTGGGATAGCTTATCACCTATTTTGAGGTATTTCACATGTACTAACCCAATATAATATTTAGATAAAAATTACGGATCTTTGTTTTTTTGCCGCAAATTTTGTTCTTTTATATGTTACAATAGGTCAGAGTGAAGAAGGCTAACATAAAGTAAGAAATAGCTAAAATAAAATAAAAGTTGTCAGATTATAAGTCTCCGCCAAGGCTTCGCCGAGAATTCGAAAAGCATGAAATGGCTTTTCCAGGCCTCATAAGTACCTTCTACAACATTTTTTGGGCTTCCGCCTGCCCTACTTATCGTATCGATCGATTTTTTGTTGACCCGAACTGTTTTCGACCCGAAAACTTCATGACGCGGTAAAAGGCAGACAAATCCTTGCTTATAATTCTTTTTCAGAATGCTATTTTATCGCTAAACAGTCTTTCTAATAACAAATTTTTCAGGCGCTAACGGACAAGCCCAAGCGCAAGCTAAGAATCGACTGGATCGCGTTGATCCTTTGCCATGTGGTCGGGTTCGTCCATTACTGCACATTTACCAATGTCGAAACTCTCGGCACCACGTTCGCCATGACAATGATGGGATTCACGGAGGAGAAGGCCATCAGCTTCACTTCCATCGCATTCACGGCTCTTTCGCTGGTGGAGCTGGTGTTTTATTTGGTCTACATCGTGTTCAAGTTGGAGCGATGGGGATCGACGCGATGTCAGTGTTTGTTGGGACTAATGGGGTTGTTATTGTTCTACACAGCCACGTTCTCATGGCCATTCCTGCCTGGAGAGCTGGCAGTTCACACGGAGAGAGGTGAGCCTTATATTCATATGTTACATACATATGTACAGGGTGACAAAGAAAAAATGCAACTCATATTTATGGCCATATTTTGTCTAAAACACCAAACTTAACCAAAGTAACGGTGAATATCAGTAACATAGAGCATTGTTAATAGTATGCTCGACCAGTTTTAAGGTGGCTGTTCTTGGCCCCGAGATAGAGCTCAAAACGTGACTTTAAATTTTGGCCGATTCGCCGAAGCTTTTTTTGGGGAAATCGGTTCCGTTCTTACCGCAGCGATCAATTAGCGGCTCCAAACTTTTTGGCGTGAACTAGAGGTCCTGGCTTCTAACTCAACAAAAAACATAGTCCACCGGATTCAGATCCAGCGAGTAGACGGCCATTTCGCAGACCACATAAAATCGGGAAAACATGTCCTTTCCTGGCCTTGCGTCTTTTTTGCTTTATGGCTGATGGGGGAATCATGCTACGGTGTCTGTTTTGAACCGCCAAAGTGCTACTGAGCCCACGGAATCACGATGGTGCACAAAATGTCGCTGGTAGACTTATCGGTTTGGTTCTGGCCCCTTTATCCAAGAAAACCAAGGAAAACCAAGGATATCACGCCCCTGGCGCAAGACTTTGCCCCAGGCCATGAGAGGTCGGATTTTTACTGGGTTCAAAAATGGCGGACGGTTTTTGACTCTCAACAGTCCAACTCCTGCAATTCTGGTGGTTGTAGGCCTGCTCGATGTTGAAATACTTCTCATCCGCGAACAGGACCTTCTCTCATCGCTGAGCTGCGGCGCGACGCTTGAGTTTTCGACATTTTTTGAGCCGTACTTGCTTGTAGTGTTCCGTGAGGCGCTAGGTCTTTTGGAGCATGTTAGGCTTGCGCTACGGTGCATTGCTGGCCATTCATCGACCAGCTGTTGTGTTGATGACGGTCTGCCGGGCAATCTTTTTCATGGACACCATCAGATTTTGCTTCACTCGCTTTTTGATGATCTCAAAGTTGCCAGAAGTGTTCAAGATGCGCTTTCTTCTATTTCCTGGACACTTAACATCGTGGCCAAGCTCGTGGATTCGTTTGGTGGCTTTTGGCATAGCAGATTTTCCTACACCGAGCAGTTTAGCAATCTCACACTGTCCTTTTTCCTCCCGAGACAGGTTTAAAATCGAGGTCCCTCTGTTTGACACTCAATACAAAGATGATAATCAATCGATATGGGCATGAAAATCAAAAGACTGGGACAGAAAAACACGGAGAATTTAATGGTATAAAAAATATTTCGCTACACCTAAACATTTTCGCGGCAGGACCCATGAAAAAAAGTTGCATTTTTTATTTGTCACCCTGTATTATAACACATGTATATTTCCGATATAATTTGACCCCCTAAACTGTAGCGATTACATGTAAACTAATTTCAGAATTTATCGACTATCACAACCATCTCAGCAACATCTCCGAGCCCGTCGGCTGCAACATTGATAGATTTAGTTGGTGCTTCGATATCAAACCGATCTCACCCTACTTGTACTTGACCACCTTGGCCATTGTTGTCGGTCTCTCGTTTGGCATAATTAACACCACGTTGAGCACACTCTTCTCCGAAGTTCTAGGCCCGAAGAAGCAGGGAACACAACAGGGATTCTTTCACATGACAAAATGCTCGGCCAGAATGGTCGGGCCTATGGCGATTACGTAAGGTTTTTGATAGAAAGAGGCTTTTTATTCGCACGGGAGGTACTCAGAGTGCGACGCTCAGATTCTCAGATTCCGTTAAAATTTTGCGCACACACTTGGCATAGATTGCACATCAATGCTTCAAATTTTTAGCTCCTTCTTTGCCAAGGCAACCGAAATATTCCACGGTGTTTAACGCCAAGAGAGGGCCAAATGCGGAGAGCGGTCAGAGGAATCAACACTTTTTAGCCATATCTTTGACCATTTCGTACGAAAAAAAATGATTTTTTTATGGAAACATTTCCCTTTCGAGTAGAAATGGGCACGACACTTTTCATTCCAAAATTCGCAAAAAATCATCATTTTTGAAGATCTTCGAGCTGAGAATCTCGGTCGTGCATGAAAAGCGTGAGCTAGGAGTTTTGCATATGTCCAATTTCAGTCCAAAAATCTTGAATTTTCTTACAACGGGTCAGGTCAAAAAAGCATAACATTTTTTCTCCCGGAACGCTGTCCGCATTTAGCGTACTCTCTTGGCCTCAAAGATCGTTGAATATTTCGGCCGTCCTTGGAAAGCGCGAGACAACACTTTCAAACATCGATATTTGACCTATGTTTGTCGACTGCGCAAAATTTAAGCAAAATCTAAGCGTCGTGCTTGGAGCACTTCCCCTATAGATCGTCCTACAGGATTTTGCCTACTTATCCTATATCCTATTGACACTTACCCCATTCAATTCCAGGTTCCTCTACCGAGGATTTGGCCCTCGAATTGCCTGGTCCCTTCAACTCTCCATGTTGGGCGGGACCATTCTCCTCTACTTGGCCTTCTACAAACGCATGATTCCCATGCAGTATCCGGCGGTGAACAAAATCCAACCGGAAGACCATCAGATCACGACGAAGCAAGTGTGAACTTGTAATGGAGAGCAGCTGCACTAGATTTTTAAATTGGGTTCCTCGTAGCAACCGGGTTCTTTCTTTTCCATAGTCGTTGTACATAGTAGTATTAAAATAGTATTGTTTTGTGTTTGTTGAGAAGCGTAATATAATAAACATTTTTCTTTGAATTAATGTCTTCCACTCTGTGCTACAGCACCATGACTCCTCACGCTGCTGTAGCCAGGTCCGCAGCCCCTTCTCCATGTTGCAAAGGACACGTTTCCATTTCCTTGAAGGTGTCCGAACAAAAAAAACTCCATGGGAGACGGTTCCGTTTTCCGGGGTCGTTCTGGATACGGGGATAACCCCGAGACCAAAAAAATGGAGTGCAAATAACGGACATTGATTCCGGAATTGTTCTGTTGTACCACGAATTCTTTGCTTTTCGGGATGTTTTGTTTGAGGCAAGCCTTTTGATCTAGAGTGGGGTATTGTTGCTGCGAAAAATGGGAAGCGCCCGCGACGTAATAAGAAGAACAAATGATACAGTAGAGACTTGAAATACCCACCGTAGTTAGCTAGTTACCAGTGTGTTAAAATGGGCAGGTCAAATTTTAAATTCTTGGCTTACTGTAGGTTACTGTAACATTTTTTGATTTTTCGTTTCTCCTCGATTAATGCCCCCATTGACCCCTGACCTTTTCAGAGAGTGATTAATTCTAAACAACTTTCATACTGACACGTTTTAGCTAGGGCTTCTGGAAGTGTGCGAAAAATTTGCCTGCTTACAGGGGAAGTACTCCAAGTTTTTGATGAAACTTGACACAAATTTAGAATATTTTTTTCTAAGATATATGAGAGAATCCTAACTCGCGCTTTGCAGAAACAACCGAGATTTTTAGATCAAAAGTCGGCGAAATTTAGGACTTTTGGCCGTATTTCGACGCAAAAAGTGGCGTGCCTATTTCAACCGTAAAGGATAATGGTTCTACAAAAAATCAAATATTTCCGCACGAAACTGCCAAAGTTATGACCAAAAAGCGCTTTTCTCTCTGACTGCTCACCACGTTCAGCGTGCTCTCTCGGAGGCAAAAAGCGTTCGATATCTCGGCGGCGCCCGCAAAGCGCGAGCTGAAACTTTCAGGGATTGATATGTGACATATCCCTGACGTGTGTATAAAATTTTTAAAAAATCTGAGCGTCGCACTTGGAGTACTTCCCCTGTTAATGTAGGTATTCTGTAACATTTGTTGATTTTTCGTTTCTCCTCGATTAGTGCCCCGATTGACTCCGGACCTTTTCAGGGAGTGATTAATTCTAAACAACTTTCATATTGATACGTTTTCGCTAGGACTTTTGGAAGTGTGCGAAAAATTTGCATGCTTAGCAAAAAATTTAAAATTCTTAAATTTTCTCAAAATATACTTTTTCTTAATTTTTACCAAGCTTCATTAAAATCTGAGCGTCGCACATGGAGAATTTCCTCAGTGAACCCTTCAAGCCTTATTGCTAGTTTCCCCAATTCTTCTCAACAAAACATTTTATGTGAATTTGATGGATAACTGATCTGTTTGTCATTCAAATTGACCAAATTTTATGTAAGGGAAATTTGACTTGTTTGTACAGCTCATGCGTTCCAACTGAAAAAAGACTAGGCCATCAAACAGAGTGCTTCGATATAACGGAAAATTGACTTTCAAATTTAACCGATTGCAAAAATTTTATGATTCTTTTCTAATTTTGCTGGCCAAGCAACAAATTTGAATTGGTTTTTCGTTTAAACGAATACAGCGTATTTTTTAATGTGCTAGTCCCGTTATAAAGTCCGTAGAATTTGCGTAGTGCGTTTTTTCGCCCGCGCCTCTGCGACTTCTTATTTTTCACAAGCAACATGCATTTTTCTGGGAGCGTCGTCGCTAAAAAAAAACTCTACATACTTAATGACTCTGTCGGGAAAATAATGTGTCTTTGCTGGGCATTTGAATCGCCTATCATAGCTTTGCGACGGCCAGCCGCGGCTGGAGATTTGAAGGGGCCTGTGGCGCAGCCTCATATTTTTACTGCGAAAAATCCACATTATTTTCCCGACATACTAGTAAAAATTTTGACTAAAACGGGTCTGCAGGAGAGTGATTCGTTTGCACACATGGCTACCGGGCTGGGTCCATTCAGACCCGGCCTAAATAAGCTTCGTTTTTAATGGCCTGTAATACGGGCCAACCAGGTCTGATCTTTTTCCCTGACCGCGATAAGGCTTATTTTTTAAGCTGAAAGTTTCGCTGAAAAGAGCGTTAAAGAGTATCATTTTATTAAAGATCAAAAAGGATAGTCAAACCCACGTTTCTTTTTGAAATGCTATTGTTTTCAAGGCTCTTGTCAAATGATATGATATTTTGGGTATGGTGTTAGATTGTCCCAGGATTTTTCTATGCCGAATTTGGAGGTTCTAGGCTCAGCGGTTCCCGAGATACGAGGTGGAAAGGAATTTTTGTCAGCCAGTTTAGTTTGTGAATGATAGCCGTTTTAACTTTTAAAAAAGGGGTCGTCACTATTGATAACAGACGAGCTGAAATTGCAGACTGACAGGGGAAGTACGTCAAGAGATTTTGATAAAACTTGGCTAAAATTTTGCTTTACAAAGGTATATGCAAGATTTCTACCGTGCGCTTTGCAGAAATGACCGAGATTTTTCGCTTGAAAGTTGGAAAAAAGGTGAAACGTTTCTGCCAATTTTGGCATGAAAGGTTTCATGTTTATTTCTACCCTAGAGAGAAATGTTTCGACAAAAAATAAATTTTTTCCGCACAAAACTGGCAAAGATATGGCCCATTTTTCCCCTGTGATCGCTCTCCGCGTTTCGCGTACTCTCTCGGCCGCAAAGATTGCTGAATATCTCAGCTGCGCCTGCAAAGCGCGAGATAAAATTTTCAGGAATCTTCATTCCCAAAGTCTGTGCAAAATTTAAAGAACGTTGTGCACACAGTGGATTTTAAGTGAATTATGAAAGCGATTTGAGCGTTCCACTCACTTGATTTTGAATATATTTGCAAGATCTCCCTCTTTTTCCACCCCGGAATGCGTGATAATTCCCTGCGAAATTATTATTCCTCGCTTCTCAATCCTTTGTGCATACAAAATATGTGCGAAATCAAAGATTATGAAGTCTTTGTTTCATGGTTTGAACGAAATTTTGTCCGTGAAAGTTGAAAAGTCTAGGGGGTTTTTATTCAAATATCAGTTTGTCGGGGAAATAATGAGCACAATGTCGCTGCGCGGGTGACATCGCTAAAGTGGAAAAAAATTTGATTTTGTAGCGACACAAGTCTTTTTCTCAAATGAGATGCGATTTCCGATGCGACAGAGTCCTCATTATTTTCACGACAAATTCATAATAGAAGCGCTGTAGGCTGGATACAACAAAACCTTTCTATAGCGAACCATTTCCAAGGCCAAAAAAACCAATTTCAGACTAAAACGACCCTCTGCACCACCAAAAAAATTAGATTCCATTTTTTAAATTTTTTAGACGCCAAAAGGGATCTTTTTCCAAGAGAGCACACAAAATGAGGAGAGCCGGTCATACAAAAAAATGTTTTTCCAAACAGATCTCCGCACATTGCGCTGGCGAAAAATTGATTGTTTCTGAAGATATTATAGCAGAGACACGGTCAAAAAGTTCTTTCTTGCTGACCGCACTCAGCCTTTTGCGTACTCTCTCAGCCGCAAAGATCGTCGAATATCTCGGCTCTCCCTGCAAAGCGAGAGCTAAAATTTTCAGGAAATGACACTTGGCCTATAGCCAAAGTATGTGCAAAATTTTTAAAAAATCTGACAATTTAACTTGGTGTACTTTCCTTTTGAACCAGAGCCAGAGCTTGGCCTATGAGCAAAAGAAAAATCAAAAAAATTTGTATTGCCAACAAAATTTCTTGTCGCGTTTTCTTAAAGATCTCTCCGTCTACCGTATTTTTCCGTGTGTTTGCAGACACTCTGCCTTTTTTCAAATGCCCCACGAGCCTTTTCCAGAATGCGGGTTGCCTACGTGAACCAACGATATGCCATAAAATGTGTGCTCGCCATTTCGATTGTTCTCTTTGTTGTCTACGTTAAATTCACGCCACGTTTCGTTTATCGGGTTCCAGTCTCCAAATTGACCCATAATCCGGAAGAGGAGCGGGTCGTTGAAAGCGCAAAAAAGGGTGAGGTCGAGAAATTAGAGGCATTAGAGCCAGAAATTGAGCAAGTTCGGGTTGTGGACAAGGAGAATGTCGAAAAAACGAAGTTTACAACTGTGAGGACATTGCAAAAGCTTCACGGATTCACCAACAGGACTGCAGGGCATATTAAGGTGGGTTTGGAAGAGATTGAGCGATTTTTTCGAGGAAATTTGCGATATTTTTTTTGTCATGGATAACATAGCGAAGCGACCGATAAATCTTCAAATTTTTTGTGAAAAAATTGGTAGAACAATCCTAAAATTATAGAATATGAACTGCTAAAAATATTGAAAATTTTGATGAGATTTTCGGACATGTTTCATCGTATAAAGTGGAAGCTCGGGCGCAGCTTGCCAATTAGAATTTCTTGATTTTCTCGAAAAAATCTCGATTTTGATAGCCGAATTGCTCCTCTATGATCATAATGATGTAAAATTTCGTATACACTCTTATTTTTTCGTTAAAAAATACATTATTTTAGACCTCCGACCTCTTCGCCGCCATCCCCCCGGAACATGATCAACCTGCGGGCAAGAGCGGCGAATCCCCCATCCAATTCGCGTACAAACCCACCTCAAACAAGCAACACATCGACATCTTTGTCATACCTCACTCCCACAACGATCCCGGCTGGCTTCAGACCTTCGAAGAGTATTATCAGGAGAGTGTTCGGGGCATCCTGAACAACATGTTGGATTTCCTCGGGAAATGGCGGGACATGCGGTTTGTTGAGGCCGAGATCTCGTTCTTCGAGCTGTGGTGGAGTGAGCAGACCGACGAGGACAAGGAGAGCTTGAGGAAGTGGGTTTTTTGAAGGGGCATTATATTATACATGGCAATTTTTGACAACTCTGGAAAAGTTCAAAAAATTTGGATGTTTTGTAAAATACGAGCCTGGTACTCTGTTTTGTTTTATATTTGATTATTTTTTTTCATGATTTTGCCTTTTAGGATTGTGAAAAATGGTCAACTCGAATTTGTTGGAGGTGCTTGGGTAATGACCGATGAAGCCAATGCCCACTATTTCAATACCATTATGGAGATGTTTGAGGGTCATGAGTTCCTCAGTAATAACTTTGGTGAGCCTTTTTCGTTTTTTTTTGCAATTTTAGGAGCTATATTTCTGGTCATGTGCAATATAAATTTTATGGAGAGTTTGATGAAATATTGCGTCATGAGGACGCAAGTGGTTGTTAAATTTCATTTTTGAAGAAACAATGGGCGTTTACCTCCTCAACTTTGAAAAAAAATATTGGTTTAGGTATCTAATACATAGTGTAATATAATTTACTATAAATTTTTGCTAGTTATTTCTTTTCTATTGGAATTTGTCCATTTCCAGATGGATATCAGCCAAAAACGCAATGGTCAATCGATCCGTTTGGCTTGTCCACCACCATTCCGCACTTGATGCAGCTCTCCGGCATCAAACAAGGTGTATTCAATCGGATTCATCACACCATAAAGAATGCTATGGCCGATCAAAGGACTTTTGAGTTCATTTGGAGGCAACCGTTTGCCGTTAATTCTAGTAAAAACGACTTTCTATGCCATATAATGCCTTATTTGTACTTTGCTGATTATCAATGTCCGGATCGAAAAGTTTGCTCCAGATTCGACTTCTACAATCGATTGTGAGTTTTTATTTTGTTTGTTTGGCTTTTAGGGTTGATGGCATCTATTTGGAACGGAATTGAGGGCAGAATCGAGGACAAATTTTATATTGTTTTAGTGCTTACCTTGCACTTGACAAAAGGCGCTGAAAAAATAATTTTTCCTTCAATTTTTTTGATGTTTTTATGCCAAAACGTCGAAAATACCACGGTTTTCACTGACTCAATTTTCACTCTCGATTTTGTTCCAAAAGTCTCCAAAAAATCGAGTTTTTCAGCGAGCTGATCACCTCTGTGAACGTAAAAGAAGATGCCGCCGATTTCCTCGAACAAGCCCGACTGAAGTCTCAATTTTATCGAACGGACACTGTCTTGTTTCTACAAGGCCATGACTTTGATTTTACCACTGCGGGTCAGTGGGAAAGAACCTATTTTAGTTTTAAAACAATGGCCGATTACATCAATAACAACAAGGATTTAAATGCAACGGTAAGAAGAATGGACAGATTTAGCATCTTAGCGTCGATTTAAAGGTGATGGGGTGATTTAGGATGGGCAGTGAAATTTTTTAAGGGATTTTTGTCATTTTTTTATACCTAAAATGATATATGGATGTCTAAAGTAATGTAGTATTTTTTATTAATGTTATGGTTATTGTTTCGATTGTTTATTTTGGAGTATTTGGTAAATTTATTTTTTATTTTCAGCTCCACATCGCCACTCCTTCAGAATATTTTGAGGTAATGACCAAAAAATTGACCACCGAAGAATACCCTCCAATTCCGTCAATGTCCGGCGATTTCTTCCCCTATTCGGAGTCCACGCATCATTACTGGACTGGCTATTTTACTTCCCGCCCATTTTATAAACATATGGATAGAGAATTGGCACATTATATTAGGTAATATCAAGTGTAATATAATGCCATAAGATATTTGATTATAGCTCAAATTGTTTTTTTATAGTTCTTTGGAATGTAAATTAGTCTCCTAGTTGGCTCTGAGGACTTTAGCAGCTTTAAAAATTTTAGTTTTACCTTGTTTTAGGTCAGCCGACATCTTGTTTTCCCTCGCCAATTGGAAATACACCAAAGAATCGGAGAAGAACAAGTTCTCCACTGCGATTTACGATCTCCTGGTGGAAGCCAGAAGATATCATGGCCTGTTTCAACATCATGATGCTATTACTGGAACTGCCAGAGCTGCTGTTGTTCAAGATTACGGTCAAAAGTATGTTCATTTTCTATATTATTTTCTGTTTTTAGACTTGAAAAAGCACTGTTCGATTGCAAGACAGTGATTGAGGAGAGTTTGCATTATCTGACGGAGTCGAATGGACAAAAACCGAAGCTGGTGAGTCAAGTTTTGCTGCGAGGGAAAGACTTGACCCAAATTGGAGGGGAATGATAAAAAAAATGATTAGGGGAGGATAGGTTACCCACCGGATAGGTTACCCCAAAAAACACATAACTCGGAGGATAGGTTACCCCACCGGATAGGTTACCCCACGGATAGGTTACCCCACCGGATAGGTTACTCCACGGATAGGTTACCCCTTACCAAAAAAAGAAAAAAATTTTTATGAAATGTTTTCGCTTCGGGAGTTTAATAAGAAGGATTTTTTGTGAAAATTGAATAAAATTTGAGATGTTTTCGCTTCGGGACTTGGAAAAAAAGGATTTTTTGTGAAATTTGAATAAAATTTGAAAGGTTTTCGCTTCGGGAGTTGGAAAAAAAGGATGAAATTTTTTCGAGCTGACTGAGTATGAACTGACTGAATATGAAAACTGGGTTTCTGTTACTTTACTACTTTTAGGCATTCTTTTTGAAATTTTTTCGACTTATAACACTTTTAGACGTTAATGGTGTTGTTTTGGTGCCTAGTACTGCTTAAAAAACACATTTTTAACACTTGGTACTAAATAGTACTACCTGGTATTATTTATTTTACTGCTCCAATCAAGACTTCTTGATTTTTACTAAATAGTACTACCTGGTACTATTTAGTACGAGGTGCAAATTTGGCCGTAAGGCGGTAATGGCGTTGGTTTGGTGCTTAGTAGAACCCAAAAACACGTTTTAACACTTGGTACTATATAGTACCAACTGGTACTGTTTTGTGAGAAGTGAAAATTTGGCCGTAAGGCAGTAATGGTGATGGTTTGGTGCTTAGCAGAGCCCAAAAACACGTGGTACTATATAGTACCAGGTGGTACCATTGGTTTTAGACAAAATTTTAGTGCTGGCGGCACCACAGTTAATATTCAGTCAGACACCCTTTTTTCTACTTTCGATGCAAAAAGATTTCAAAATTTTGTTGAATTTTCTAAAAAATTGTTTTTTTTTCCCAGTCCCGAAGCGAAAACATTTCAAATTCTTTTCAATTTTCACAAAAAATCCTTTTTTTCCAAGTCCCGAAGCGAAAACATTTCAAAATTTTTTTTAAATTTCACAAAAAATCCTTTTTTTCCAAGTCCCGAAGCGAAAACATTTAAAAAAAAAAATTTCAGGTAACCTATCCTCGGGGTAACCTATCCTCCGAGGTAACCTATCCGTGGGGTAACCTATCCTCCGAGGTTACCTATCCGAAACTTGGGGTAACCTATCCGGTGGGGTAACCTATCCGCTGGGGTAACCTATTTGTTAGGGGTAACCTATCCTCCGAGAACGAAAAAAAATGAGTAGGGAGTTATGGCGCATGGTTAGTTATCAGGTGTGGTAAAATGGTGATTGATTTTTTTCTATTTGGATCAAAGCTTTCGGGAGAAACAGTTGACTCAGATTCGGGGAAAGACTTGACCCATTGCTGATTTCAAGTTCTTGACGAAAAGTTTCAGTTTTGATTTGGTGACAAGAGTATTTTAGACCGAAATACCCTCAAATAACAAGACATTGATCAGAGAAGTATACTCATCTCCATCAACTTTACTTGTTTTCAATTCCCTGCCAAGAACAATATCAAGAATCGTTTGTATTCTTCTGGAAAATGATGAACTGACTGTGCAAAATAGTAAAAACGAAGATGTCGCTCAACAAATTCATCCGAACATTGAGATTGACGGGAATGGAAAGTTGGCTGTCAATAAAATTGAGGTGATTTTTTTGCTTTTATTGAATTTATTTTTTATTCTTAGTTTAATAGAAAAATTTCTGGATTGAATTTAAATTTCATAAGATGGGTTTTGTTTTCAGCTCTGCTTCAAAACAGCACCAATTCCACCATTGGGCACCATAACTTATAAGTTGATCAAGAAGGATAACAAAAAGAGCAAAGCCAGTGTGGCGGTGTCGAATGAAGAGGATAAACTGTAAGTTTAGTGGATAAATGGTCCGTCCGGGAAGTCGCTGGGATGATTTTTGGCGTTTGCACTGTGCGAAAAGAGACAGCCCAAAAAAGCGAAGTGAGATTTTGTTTTTGCACTGTGCGTGTCGCCGAACTGATTTTTTGCGTTTGCACTGTGCGAAAAAATTTAGGGTGCGAGCGACAGCCCAAAAAAGCCTATTGCACGGTGCAAAAAGCTAGAAATTGCACGGAACTGGGACGATTGGGGAAAAAGACGATTGGGGAAAGGGACGATTGGGGAAAAAGACGACTGGGGAAAAGTACGATTGGGGAAACCGAAAAGTATTATTTTTCTTCGATGCAAATGTCGAAATTAGGATAATCGAGGGTGCTCATTTCGAAAATGACATTCTTTTTTTTGATTCTTACTTTTTTTCTTAAGTAGTACTGTTAAGTACTAATTTTTTAAAAATTTTCGAAAAATACTGGATTTAGGGGATTTCGAAGGTGCTGGTTTCGAAAATCATGTTCATTTTTCCTCTAGTAGTAAATAGTACTATTCTGATACTATATAGTACGAGGTCAAAATATGGCTTTTGACGTTAATGGTGTTGTTTTGATGCTTAGTACTCTTCAAAAACACGTTTTAAAGACTTGGTGCTATATAGTACTACCTGATACTATGTAGTACGAGGTGTAAAGTTGGCCTTTAGGCGTTCGTGGTGTTGTTCTGGTGCTTAGTACGCCTATTTTTACTTCGTACTACATAGTATCAGACAGTACTATATAGCACCAAGTCTTTAAAACGTGTTTTTGAAGAGTACTAAGCATCAAAACAACACCATTAACGTCAAAAGCCATATTTTCACTTCGTACTATATAGTATCAGAATAGTAATATGTAGTACTAGAGGAAAAATTTACATGATTTTCGAAATCAGCACCCTCGAAAACCCCTAAATCGAGTATTTATGAAAAAAAATTAAAAATTACTACTTTACAGTACTACTTAAGGAAAAAAGTAAGAATCAAAAAAATGAATGTCATTTTCGAAATGAGCATCCTCGATTATCCTAACTTCGACATTTGCATGGAAGAAAAATAATACTTTTTGGTTTCCCCAATCGTACTTTTCCCCAATCGTCTTTTTCCCCAATCGTCTTTTTCCCCAATCGTCCAACTCCGAAATTGCACAGTGCGAAGGAGATTTTTTTGAACTTTTGTTTTTGCACAGTGCGTGTCGCTAAAACCTTCTGCGACATTTTGTTTGATTTTTTTGCACTGTGCAAAAATTTTTTATTTTTCGAAAAGGTACAAAAATTTTGTACCTCTAATGATTGAGGTTTTTCAGGTTGTTCTCCACATTCCCCTCGGTGAATTATACCGGAAATGATGTGTTGTCCAACGGAAAATTGAAGGTAAAATACGATCAGAAGAGTGGGTTCTTACAATCCATCGAATCAGAGGGGAAAACAACGGATCTCCGGTTGAGTTTTGTCCATTATTCATGTAAGTTTTCGGCTAAATGACAAAAAAATTTCTGACGATTTTTATCCCATGAAAAAATTTTTTATTTTTTTCAAAATATTTACTGAAAATTTATTTTCAGCCCGGTTAAATCCAGAGCCGCGCAGTGGCGCCTATGTTTTCCAACCCGCCAATCAGTCGAGACATCTGGACATCAAAGAAAATCGAGTCGTAATTGTCAAAGGCCCAGTGTTCACGGAACTGGTTGTCACGGGACCCTCAAATATCAAGTTGCTCCACAAAATTCGCTTGGAAAATAATAGTGAAGACATTCAAATCCACAACGAATTGGATATCCGTGACGAACATGAGTTTGAAATCGCGATGAGAATTGAGTCAGAGGACTTGAACAAAAAGGACGAGCAGTTCTTCACGGACTCGAATGGCTTCCAGAATTTGAGGTGAGGCTTTTGAAAGTTTGATTTTTGGGTTTTTAGAGGCGAAATCACCTGACGGTAAGAGAATCGGACAGACGAAAAATTTTTTCCTTGGCCGTGTCTTCACGTATTTTTGTCGGAAAATGATTTTTTTGGAGATGTGTTATGCTCCTCGTCTGTCACAAATGAGAAAACAAGTTCTATTTTTTCGGAACGTCGTCAATTGGGGGAAAAATGGACGATTGGGGAGACTGGAAATTTATTATTTTTCTTCGATGTAAATGTGGAAATCAGGATAATTGAGGGTGCTGATTTCAAAAATGACATTCATTATTTTTTTGTTCGTTACCGTTTTGCTCAAGTAGTACTGTAAAATAGTAATTTTTTGAACTTTCTTCGCAAATACTTTATTTACGGGTTTTCAATGGTGCTGATTTGAAAAGAGAAAAAATTAAAAAGATTTGCAGAATCAGCACTACCGAAAACCTCTAAATCAAGTATTTGTGAAAAAAGTTCAAACAATTATTACTTTACAGTACGACTTGAGCGAAATAGTAACGATCAAAAAAAATGAATGTCATTTTCGAAATCAGCGCCACACGTCAGAATGAAAATAGAAGAAAACCGAAATTTCGTGGGGGGCCGCACCGAAAAGCAACGACCCACGTCAATCCAGCGCATTTCCTGAACCGTTTCGAAACTTCGTATCGTTTTCAATGATTTAAAAGAGAGACGAAATGTCGCGAAATTATCGGCACTTTTTCTCGGCCGAAATAATTGTTTTTTTTCGAAAAGGAAGAAGAAAGATAAGAAAATGGGTTTTATCGGATAGTGACATTTCGTTTGAACGAATCACCAAAAAGGGGCGGGAAATTTTTTCTTCTATTTTGGATTGACGTGCGACCGATTTTTTCTCCTTTCTCTGACCGCTCTCTTCCTTTTTGTGCGTGCGCTCTCTTCCTCTCGCCAATCGCAAATCGTTATTTCGCGGATCGCCACGGCTTTGACGAAATTCCCTTTTTATTTTGACGTGCGCCATTGATTACCCTAATTTCGACACTTACATCGAAGAAAAATAATACTTTTCAGTTTCACCAATCGTCCTTTTCCCCAATTGACGTTCTGAAAAAACAGAAATTGTTTTCTTTTTTGTGACAGACGAGGAGCATAACATACCTCCAAAAAATACATTTTCCAACAAAAATGCGTGATGAAAAGCGTTTTTCGTCTGGCCGACTCTCTTATCGTTAGGTGATTTCGCCTCTAAAAACCTAAAAATCAAAGTTTCAAAAGGGAATTCCTTTCAAAAGCCAATATTGGCTCCAAGTCAATCCAAAATACGAGAAAAAAATAAAAAAAATCCCGCCCCTTTTTTGGTGATTCGTTCAAAACGAAATGTCACTATCCGATAAAAGGCATTTTCTTTTGTTTCTTCTTTCTTTTCGAGAAAAAGCAATTATTTCGGGCGAGAAAAAGTGTCGATAATCTCGCGGCATTTCGTCTCTCTTTTTAAAATTTTTTTTATTTTTTTTTTAAGTCAATGAAAACCTGTAAGACCTTGAAGAACGAAGTTTTGAAACGGCCTTTTCCAGACGGTATCGCCTCTCCAATCTCCCGCTACCCGCTCAGTATTACCCATTCACCACCTCGGCATACCTAGAAACCCGGGAGGTTCGCCTCAACGCACTCACCAAACAGCCCCTGGGGATCGCGTCCCTAAAACAAGGACAATTGGAGATCATGCTGGAGCGGAGAATGAGTTCGGACGACGGAAAAGGCATGGAACAGGGCGTGGAGGACAATAAAAAGACTGAAAGTGATTTTGTTTTCTCACTAGAGCGACGGAATGGCCTGAATAACGATGAATTTGGCCGGTTGTCGGCGAGAACTCAACATTCAAGTCAGAAGCTGCTGTATCCCCCCGTGGTTGGCGCTATAACTGGCGAAGAGGCGGTCAAAATTGTGGATGTAAGACCCTTGAAGAACGACTTACCATGCGATCTTCATTTGGTGGCGTTGAGATCGCTAAGTGAGGCTACAAAATATGTAACGAAAAAGTCAAGTGTTCAACGAAAAACAAGTCCAAAAGCTAAAGCGGCACTGATTTTACATCGGTTCTTTAATGAGAAAGAGGATGAGTATTGCAAAGGAGCAGAAAATTTAACGGTGAGTGGTTTAGAGACAAAAAAATTTTTTTGATTTTTTAAATTTTTTTAGGTGAAATTGGACGAAATATTTGCAAATACAATAGCCAATTCAATGGAAACTTCGTTGACGGGTCTGCAGCAGCTGCAAGAGAACGCAAAACACTTGAATTTCCAAAAAATGGACATCAAAACTGTTGTTATCGGGTATTAAAAAGCATATTTATTTGTTTTGTTAGATGTAAATAGATATTTATTTATTTTTTTGTTGTTGAAATAAAAAAAATTTGTTTAATTTTTTGGATTTTTCAAAAATTTTTTATTGCGGAAACCTTTCAATACTGTCAATCGAATTTTGAAAATGAACCCGATGAGCGTTGGCGGGCCCAGTCGCCGGATTCTTCACAATCCCCAACACAAACATCATCGAACGCCGGATTTCCCTGAAAATTTTTTTTTTGATTTTGGTGGCGTTTTTCGAATGGAAAATTTTGATTTCCCGGAGAAATTATTGTAGCCGGACAACTCTCAATCTGTCGGGAAAATAATGTGGATTTGTCGCAGAAAAATCTCTCGCCCCGTCGCATTTGCACACCAAATATTATATCAAGCCGTCGCAACGCGAAAAAATACGAGGAATCCACATTATTTTCCCGACAGAATGATAGTTGCAACTCTGATGCCAAAATTACAGTGGGGGACCTGATCCATTTTGCATCCGGGAAGTATCAAAAATGTGGCAAAATGCTTCCCTCTCCAAGTTAAAAGCTCCGATTTCAGAAGCGCGCCCGTTCTTTTTGTGAGGGAATTGGCAAAGTTTTTTCACTTGAAGAGGGAGGTATTTTGCCACATTTTTTGATACTTCACGAATGCGAAATGGTATGTTTTTTGCCACTGGATGGTACCAATCCGTATATCCTAATGGATAATATAAAAATCTTACCGATTCAACACGACCAAGAATATGGGCTGAGCAGCAATGAATGTCAGCAGGATGAGGGTCTTACTCTCGGAATACCCTTTCCGATCGAAAAAGAAGTGCCCCAATTCGAAGATGGAGAAGAACAAACAAGTGGCTCCAAAATTACAAATATGGAAAAAAGTCAGACGAAAATCAACTGGTCGATATTTGCTGGCGTCAATTCCTTTTTTAATCTGAAATTGGAGGCATAAAAAAGGTTATATCACATGAAAAACGAGATTTTTGGAAAAAACTTGATTGAAATTCAAGTTTTAGCCTGAAGCTCAAAAAATCCCGATTTTTTTCTTTATTTTTTCTCTGAATAATTCTGAATTCTCATCAAAACTCACATGAAAATAGAGCAAAAGCACATCAATTGCGGACAGCGACAGTCCTGCCGCCATAATCGCCAGTTTGATCAAAGTTTGGGCCTCGATAAACTTTGTAATCATCGTATTGTTGGACAGTGTAAACGACTGTAGTACCATGTCAAAGACGTTGTAATTATTGGAGAAGAATTGGCAAACCACAAAGATTATTGTGCACAGCATAGGACATACTGTAATGGGCTAAAAATGGAGATATTTCTTGATAAAATTCTAATCAAATTTTTCGCGAAGTTCCAGCAAAATCTTAGCATCGCTTTTTTTGATTTTCCTATCATAGGATAATGCAATATCATGTCTATAGCAAGACACATAAGAGAATTGAAAGTGAGCACGAACAATGTCACTATAAGCTATTCTTCAACGGCTTTCCAACCGTCTATAGCACCGGCCATTTGGCTATGGTCGGCTTGTACACTTCCCTACCTTGAGCACCACCTCACACCTTCAAACAAGCTTACCTCGACGAAGAAATGAGGTAATTCCATGGGATACTCGTCCTTGATGACCATCACGAATTTGAATATGATAAAAGCGAGATAATGGAACAATGCAAAGGTGGTTGCAAGGTCGTAGATGAAACCTAACAGCTAAAATACAATTTTCTTTAAATTTTATGTCAATGCCGCATACTTTCATCCAAGCATCGGCCAAAGTTGTCTCATTCAGAAGGAGGAACCCAATTACAAGGTACATGACCAATAGACCGATATGAAGTACTGACAGTATCACGCACACTCGTAATGCGGCACATGTGGTAATTGTGGAAAGACGATAAATTGCCTGGAAATGGGTGTTTTGTTAGTGTTCACAAGGGAAGTGTTTGAACTTCGATGCGTAAATGTTCTCTAAAGTTTGAACTTTGTCCCACTTGTTGTGCTTGGGGCACAAATCAACTGCCGAAAATTTTTAACCCACGCTTTGCAGGTGCAGTTTAAAACTTTAACGACTATTTTAAGTCGCTGAATGACCAATGCGGAGGGTGTTCAGAGAGAAAAGATGGTTTTCCGGCCATCTCTTACAATTAGCATTTTTTGCGCGGAGAAAGTTGACTTTTTGTTGAATTATTGCGCTCTGCGTTATAAACAGACCCGAAATATTCCATAGATAAACTTGGCAAAAAAATTTCATTTTTCTTTTGCCAACTTTATCAGAGTGGTTTTTTTTCTAACTTTCGGATCAAAAATATCTCCTCTCGGCTTTTCGGGTCACCAGAGGTACGAGTCAACACAAAATCGATCGATACGAAACACAACAGGCTGAGACACCATAAAAGATTGTAGGAGCTGTCTACGAGGCCTGGCAAAGCCGTTGGGTCGTAGGCAACGGAGCTGTCTACTGATTCTAGGCGGAGACTTGAAAAAGCCTCTTTTCGGAAACAAGATGTCAAAAAACATGTTTGTTATGTCCTGCCGTGAAAGCAGTGTTCGCAAAAATTGCAAACAGGAAGACGTTTTTAGTAGGCATGTAGGTTACTATCTTTTTTTCTTGGTATAAAAAGAAATCCTTTGGATATTTCGTCTCGAAAGCCGTAAAATGCGCGATTTATCCATTAAAACAATCATTCCAGTGTTAACACTTCACAAACCAACCTTTGCCACAACGTAATAGAATGGCACAGCCAAAAAGGGAAGCCCGAAGAACAAAGCGCCGACCTGCAACCATCTCTCATTCCACACAACATCCACTATCCACATACCTGCATCTTTGACCTTACGAGCCCATTAAGCAGCCCGCCTTTATATACCACCGAGCACAGTTAGGTTGTCAACCCCTAATCCATGAACGAGTAATATCCGATATTCATATAGCCCCTTTCCGCTCTGCGTTCCCAACATTTCAAGACGAACATAAATTGGCGGAAATACTCAAACGTTATGGTATTGTTGAGGGGGTTGGGAGGGTCTACGGAAATTTATGGAGATTGTGCTATTGTCTGGGAGATGTCATAAATCTCAGGGAGTATTAGGGATCAAAATACAGTGCTGAGACTTGGTGGGCGATGGGTTTGAAGAGGAAGATTGGGGATTGCGGAGAGAATTTCATTTTCGCCGCCAGCTGGGATTCGTTTTGGACCCCGGGTTGCTCATTGCGGAAGAAAAAAAAATTTACTGCCTACAGTAAATTGGTCCCCGCTGATCCCTTTTTATTTCTTTCTCACCCATTTGTGCCAAGTTTCATCAAAATCTGTGCGTCGCACTTGGAGCAGTTCGCGTGTAAAGTGGTACAGTGGCAGATCTGATCCAGTGGCAAAAAACCTATCATTTTGCACCCAGAAAGTATAAATAATGTACCAAAATACCTCCATCTCCAAGTGAACTAATTCCGATTTCAAAAGCGCGCCCTTCAAAACGAAGTTTTTTCTCTTGAGAAGGGAGGTATTTTGCCTTATTTTTTGATACTTCCCGGATGCAAAATGCTAGGTTTTTTGCCACTGGATCAGGTCCGTCACTGTATACGACATTGAAAGCCAGAAGTGGCTCTAATCATCGTCTGTTGTCCCCTCCAATGTATAAATTTTAGACTCCTTTTCTCTTTAATGTTTGCAAACCTCGAAACCTTTTTCCAAAACTTCCTGCTTCATTATGTCATGTCCTGGTTGAGTGCAAACGTCCGTGCCCAAATAAGTTCTCTAGTGGATGCTAGAACTCAAAGCATGAGTAAGAATTGCATATTGCCTGACGTAGAGCGTTCTTGGGAGTAGAGCAAAAGGTAAACAAAGATCCATGCGGCGTGCGGCATGTTTCTTTGTTCGGAAGGTTTGTAGCGCTGATTTATTTATTATATTTACACTTCCTAGTGCAAATCTTTTTTATGTTCTTTATAACTTGTTTAACCATCATAAAAGTCTGTCGGGAAAATAATGAGCGCAATGTATAACTGCGCCGATGGCTTCGCTGAAATAAGAAGCAATTTGATTTTACCACGACACAATTCATTTTCTCGACCGCGATGCGATTTTCGATGCGGCACGCGTAGAGGTGGCAATCGGGCCGGGCCGGGCCGATTTTTGCGGCCCGGCCCGCGGGCCGAATTGACCAGGCCGGCCCAGGGCTTTTTCAAATTTGCTCAGGCCCGGCCCGGCCCGGTGAAAGCCCAGGCCGGCCCGGCCCGGCCCGGTTTGGCCCGCTAATACAGAAAAGTTGGATAAAAGTCTTTGCACTTTCTACTGGAAGTTCTTATGCTTTCCAGAAGGTTTTTACGTGTGTCTGCGTGAAATTAAAAAGTCTAGTCGGATGACTGGAACATCCGTACAGGTAGCCAAAAAGTTGGATTGTGTTGAATTTTTTAATCCTATAGGAGGTTAGCTATATAAAATTATGGACGTTATAAGGTAAATGGTTAACCAAAAACTGGTTAAACACTTTTATTTACATTGAGGATTCAAAATTACAGTGAAATTTTTAAATTTATCATAAAAAAATTCGAAGACTTTTGCCCGACCCTTACATATTTGGGTGGGATTTTACATATACATAATAAGTTACATACATAATTTTAAAGGGTAGTAAAACAGCGTATAAGTCAAAAAAGGTTTAATCTAATTTCCATCCATTCTACAAAGCATTTGTACTTTATTTTGCCGGTTTAGCGTTAGAAATTTTTTACTTATCTACCTTCCGGGCCGGGCCGGGCCGAAAGCGTCGGCCCGGCCCGCAGGCCGAAGCGATCAGGCCGGCCCATGGCTTTTTCAAATCTGCTCAGGCCCGGCCGGGCCCGGTGATTGGGCCGGCCCAGCCCGATTGCCACCTCTAGGCACGCGGCATTCTGTACTTTTGGGACACAACCGATATCCGCGACTTTTTCTATTTTTTTCGGAATGCGCTTGCTTTCTCTCTCCATATCTCGCTAGCCGTTTGAGCGAGAAGGCTACAATTTGGTATGGCAGCAGAGTAAAAAGCCGGCTTTCAGAAAATATAAAATTTTAGGGAACCCCATCGCATAGACCTCGCAATGACAATTGAAAAATTCAATCTTGAAACTTCCGCGGCAGAGTGCCCATTATTTTCCCGGCATACTGATATGTAAAAACTTCTTTAGCGGCTAAAAATCATGTGCAACGAACCTTTTTCACATAGCAATTTCTGCAGAATTAGCTCGAGCTTTGCCAGAAAACCCGATAAATTCAACAAACTTTGCCGCCGAGAGAGTATGCAAATTGGAGAGGGCGGTCAGGGAGAAAAACGCTTTTTGGCCATAACCTTGCCAGTTTCGTGCGGAAAAAAATTGATTTTTTGTGCAAACCTTACTCTCTACAGTAAAAACAAGGGTCAATTTTTCGACCCCAACAGTGCACTTCAACATCAAAAACAATCTGTAAACCTATCGATCTCCCTGGTATGCCCTTTAAGACTCCAAGAATTGTATTAATTCTCCGGATTGAATTCGGATTCGGCGAATCCCACCGTGCATTCTTGTGTCAAAACATAATAAATCCCCGCTTTTCTTGGCGAAATTGCGTTTCCGGCCCGCTTTGTCCCTCCAATGTCTTGCTTTTCACAAAATGGGAGCGAAATGAAGGAAGCAACTAGCGGTCGCAATGACGGGAGTGCAATTCAAATCAGAGGCCGGCATTTCTGGGCTCATCCCTCGCATCCGCGTGGGGGAGGTTTTGATCGGACCCGCAGGCCGTTCCAAAACCCAACGGCATTGTTGCCGTTGGGGTCGGAATTGAGGGAGGGCGGGGACCGGAACTCGAGGGACACGAGCCTTATAAGGAGGGCGGGAAAAGTCGTCAAAATATCATAGTGTTCCCCAATTGTATTGAAAAGTTGGCGGAGATGCGGCCTGCGGCAAAGAATTGTCATACAACCACCGGGAAATGGGTAAGTAACGCAAAATTGTGATGAATAGAGAAGTGTCAGTCTATGCACTTTATGAAAATATCAATATCAGACTGTCGGGAAAATAATGAGCAATCTGTCTCGCATCGAAAATTGCATCGCCGGCGAAAAAATTAATCAAATTGTGGCAAAATCGAATTGCTTTTCACTTCAGCAACCTGATTGGCGTAGTGAACTTGTGCTGATTAATTCCATATTAATTTTCCGACAGACTGATACTCAAGTGTCACTCGTATTTTGATAGAAATTCAGGAGGATATTATGACCACTTCTTATGTATTTTTTGGTGACTTTGCAGGCCCTTCTGTCTGCATAAAAAATCATTCCTTTTCATCAGAACGCTCTCCAAATTTCGCACATTCAGCCGAAAAGATCGTTGAATATTTCGACATCGCCCGCAAAGCGCAAGCTAAAATTTTCAGGCATTGATATGTATTCTAGGCAGAACTTTTATGGTAAATTTCAAGGCAATCTGGGGATTGTCTCACAAAAAATTTTTTATTTTTTCTATGCCCATAAAGCCGAAAATCCGATGGATTTTGGGTTTATTTTTTAACGGCCAAATCCAGACGTTTTTTCATCCCGCCACCCCCAACATCCGACAGCAAAAAACAATAAAATTTTCGCCAAAAAACATTCCATTGTAGGCTGCTGATTTGTGTGTCAGTCTGTCGGGAAAATAATGTGCATTCTGGCGGATGGAAAATTCGCATAGCCGTTGAGAAAATGAATTGTGACAAAATCAAATTGCTTTTCACTTCAGCGAATCGGTCGGCGCATCGACATTGTGCTCATTATTTTCCCGACAGATTGATATTGAAGCAAATTGGTATAATTTTTTTGGGGCTTTTTGTCATCATACAACCAGATATGCACAGTGGAACCTTTCTACAACGAACAGGACATCAAAATTTTTTTTTCGTTATAGGAAGGGTTTGTTTTACGGAGGTTTATTTTGCACAAAAAAATTTTTCAAGGATTTCAAAAATTGTCTATACCATTCTGTTGGGAAAATAACGTGTATTTGTTCGCTATTTTCCCCCACCGACTGAGATTTTTGCCTATGAAAACCGGATTTGGCGAAACGCAATTGTTTTGGCGGCGCTCAAAGTTAATGTCATGCGGATTGCGGTCGTCTCAAATGACACGAAGAAAACATAAAAACATGGACTCCGGATGAGCTTTTGAGACGGGGTGAAAAGACGGGTTGAGAGTTCAAAATTAAACGGGATTTGTTGCACGGGAGATGCACTCTTGTTTTGGCCGAATTTCTGATAAATTTATCATCTTTTGTTGGAGAAGGCGGATGACAAAGCTGATTTTGTTTTGCAAACAATGATGGGGGATTTCGAAATTGGGATGTGATTTGGCGGGGTCCAATGACTTGGCCAGCCGTAATTAGGATTCGGGCTGTAAGATTTTTGTAGCCGGGATCTCAGCGGTTTCTAAGCAGCGCTAGAAAAACACACTGAACGAGGACTCTTCAGTTTCCTCAAATTTCACGATTATAGTGGAAAATCTGTGGAATCGGCGAAATGCGGTCAACCCACGCACAGTGATGAATGAATGGGAAGGGACTCAAAAATGCGTTTGCTATAAAAGAGTTTCGCTCAATGAACTCTTCATCTAGGTCTAAAATTGACTCTCAGGACATCTGACATTGTTTGATGTAGACATGCGTTGTTGTACGGGAAAATTGCACTTGTCGTAATATCAATTTCTAATAATAGTACAATAAGTAAATATTACATCAGAGAATATAAGAAAAGTCGTTTCCCTAGCTGTCGCTAGGGGAATCGCTTCCTCGATGCAGCCGGAATCCTTACTTTTATAAAATTCTGGGCGGAGAAACTTCTTGATTTATAGTTTTTTTTGCATGGATCTGTGTTAGTTCGGGATTGGAAACATTTTATTTCATAAGCGCCTTGCTCAGTGTTCACTAGATGTTCACATGTCCAAGTCGTTTCTTTCAGCATCTTTCTTTCATCAGATCTTCATCTGCGTATCTTCTGTTTTATCCTCTCTTTATTTTGTCAGATCAAGCAGTCATTACACGTGAGTTATTTGTAAAAATTCGCTCGAAAAATCTACAGAGTGATTTCAGCGACATGAACTGTGCTGAAAAATGTCATGATGCGAGCGACAGCCCAAAAAAGCCTATTGCAAGGTGCGAAAAGCAAGAAATTGCAGAGTACAGAGTGAACTTTTGTTTTTGCACAGTGCATGTCACCTAAATCACTACACAAAAACCAATCTGAAAACAAATTAGATTAGTTCATGAACGCAAGTCCCATGAACTGCTAGTACCTGTCCTTAACACATTCTGCTCACCAACCCACACGTATAAATCGAAAATCAGCCTTGTTTTCGGATCATCGCGTCCAACTCGGCCATACTCCCAAGTTCATCCAACCTTTCGCACATACGTTCCGCCATTAGCGGCAAAACAAATTCCTGCCCTCGCCCCGATTGTTCTAAGCTAGTGCGTGCGAACGCGGTGACAGCTGATCGCTCATTTCTGAGCAAGTAGGTGATAAAAGGTGATGCATTCCGCCTTCCGGATGGATAAATAGTTGACAGTCGGCCGAGGGGCGCTTGGGTCGTGGGGGTGAGATAAGTAAAGGGGATTGTGGTCAGAGTTTTGTTTCATGTTCCACATAAACCGATGGGCACAAGAAGGGCACTGAGATGGGGGTGACAAGTCGTGGGTTTGACATGAGTTATGCGAACTGCAAACTTATGACTTGTTCGAGGGATATGCTACAAGGTTGAGTTGGGACTGGGATTCTTTTTATACATTTAGGCTGTCGGGAAAATAATGAGCATAATGTAGCTGCGCCGATCGTGTCGTTGAAGTGAAAAGTAGTTTGATTTTGCCGCGAGGCAATTCATTTTCTCAGCGGCGATGCAATTTTCGATGCGACAGAGTGCTCATTATTTTCCCGACAGACTATTATTTTTTGCACCTACTTCTCAGCGTCAACTGCCCTGCAAATTTACACTGTGCGAATTTGGCGCTGTTCGCCGCCGCGCAGCAAACCATTTTGGCCAAAAAAACGATTTTGCATAGTGCGTTTTCATTTTTTTTTTGCGATTCCCATTTTGTAGCGATAAGCCATAAATTCCCGGGACTTTTGGCGGCCAGAGTATATAGCATATATGTTGCTTTTCGGCCGTTTTGATTCCTTTTATATTCGATTATCACTCAAAGTACGCTCAGAAACTTTGCCCTTCTTACACTTACTATGTGTGATATAGAACATTCTAAATTCAATTTGTTTATGCCACTTTTTATTCACATGTTTGTACATATCAGCGCTATACTTGGAAATGTCGGCTTATTTTTTATAGCTGCCTTACAGCTTATTTTCGGAATCCAATTTTGCCGTTGGGCCGCTATGTCATCGCTACATCATAACGGTCATTCCAAAGGCGATTTATTGGATAGAAATCCGATATTATTTATAATTTTGTAGCCCGCACACATTTCTCCTCCTCATTACACGTATTTAAAACATTTCCCACCGCATTTTCACGTTCCATTGGCAATAAAAAATGCCATCTGTTCGAAGAGCAAAAACAAATTTAGCCGAATTTTCAATAGCCTTCGGGTCAAATTGCGGTCAACAGAAAATGAAACGCCGCGGGGCTTTTAAAATGCAAAATTTGAAACATTTTATCTCAAGTCTTTCGTTTCGTCCATTTTTTTTATATTTTTTTTGCGGGGGACTTTAGAGATGTTGAAATGTTTTGGGGATTTGGGATTTCTCGGACTTTTTTTTATGTATCAGACTGTCAGGAAAATAACGAGCATAATGGCGCATCAAAAATCTCATCACTACTATTGATTTGTATGTCAGTCTGTCAGGAAAATAACGAGCACAATGTTGCATCAAAAATCGCATAGCTACCGAGAAAATGAATTGTGTCGCGACAAAATCAAATTCCTTTTCCCATCAGCGACGCACTAGGCGCAGCGACATTCTGCTCATTATTTACTGGACAACCTGGTATTGAAAAAAGTTGCTTCAATTTTTGGGGCTTTTAGTCATCATAAAAAATTGCTACTATGAAATATCTTGGAGTTTTTAATCGTCATAAAAGATTCACTGTACGAAGTATGTACAGTGAAATCTCCCTACAACGAATTGCAAGGGAGATTAAAAGTTTTCTCGTTATAGGAATTTCTTTGTTTTACAAAATTTTTTTTGTCCTAATTGTAAGATAATTTTTTCCGGGGATTGCAAAACTAGTTTATATTAATCTGTCGTAAAAATAATGTGGATTTAACGCGCTTTGGAATCTCCCACCACCACTTTGCGATGGCTAGCCGCGGATGGGGATTTGATCAATCCACATTATTTTCCCGATGACAATAGACAGATTTTTTCCTGTATACACTGGAAGTGCGCCGTAAAGAAATCCACTGAGTCCATCCCTATTTTAAACTCAAAATCTCAATGTTTTCCAACCAAATGTAGTGCATTGTTTACTCCCCAAAGCCTTGTTTTTTCCTCTCCTAATTTTCCAAACCTTATAAAACTGTTATTTCCGCCCAAATTCACAGTGTTTCTCGGCCGCATGCAGGACGACTGCCGCAAGGAGCGTGAGGCCTTTCTTTTGATAAAATCTTCTCCTCCGTTTTGCGGCTAATATGAGGCGTATAAACGTCATTCATAAAAATTTTCCGACGATTTTTTTAATAGGGAAAGTGGTCAAAGTGCTGGGACTAGATTTTAAAGAAACTCGGCGCAAATTTTTCAAAATTTTTTCCTCATGAAACAGGCAAGATCATAGTCAAAAAACTTTTTTTTTCTCTGGCCCGTCTCCGCATTTCGCATACTCTCTCGGCTTTAAAGATCGTTGAATATCTTGGCTACCGCCGCAAAGAGCGAGCTAAAATCTTCTGAAACATCGTAGCACATGCCCAATCTTGTGTGAAAAATTTCCAGGGCAACACTTTGAACTTTGAACACTTCCCGTGTCAAATGAAAGACATTCTTATTCAAAGACTCTTATTTCAATTAATTCATTGCCTTTCAGCTTCACATGTGCAAGTGTCTTCGTCTAAAACACAAGTGTCAATGCAGTTTCTATTTGGTTTGTGCGGCGTTGTCATCGTTTGCCCTCATGATGGCGACGATAATCATATTTGTAATCGAAACGAAACGAGGGACAATCCAGGAAATGTATATAGTTTCAACTGTAAGTTTCCGACGAATTTCTTACATAACATTAAATTACATACATTTGGAAGTCATCAGGGACAATATGGAATACAGTGGAACCCTGTATAACAAATTTACGTACAACAAAACCCGTCTATAACGAACAGTTTTAGATGTCCCAAGAGCAAATTTTAGGCCAAAAAACCTTCGATAAAACATAGACCTTCTATAACAAATAATTTTTTTGGTCCCTTGCGATTCGTTGTACACAGGCCTTACTGTATTTTATAACACAAAATCATTCTAGATGCACACCGGACTGACCTTGACTTTTCACATGACATCATTCATCTTGACTGTCTTGGTGCTGGCTTTTCATGTTGACAAAATACTCAAAAAGAGCTACGGATTTCAAAGCTTGGAGAAGAATCAACTCTGTATACTAACTTGTAAGTACGGCTCAATTAGGCAACAAGGCCGGATATATACTTGCATGTTTTTACCAAAAATTTTCAGGCGGTCTAATCGCTCTCCTCCTCTTTATCGGTGCCATTGTAGCGACGATAATGAATATGACATACGTCTTAGTCATCGGATCCTATTTGGTTTTGGACTCCGTGGCTTTTATGCTTTTGTGTATCACTTACTACAAACAACGGGAAAAAGTAAGAAACTTTGGCCTCTAAATATTCATAGGCATTTAATGTTGACCGAGCATTTCGGAAAGAAATACAATATTATATGTAATATTATATATCAAATCAGAGATCACAACCGTGCCCTATACGTGTAGGAATCGAGAATAATCGAAGTGAAAACTTAAACCAACATTTTTAGATGGAAAAATTCGTGGAATTCACGTTAACCATGAACCGAGCCGAAGGTCTCGTACTGACAGAGCAGCACGCCCTGGATTTATGCCGATTACAAGCTGGAGAAGCGGAATTCAAGGCCATGGTACAAACGGGCCGCTATCGCCAACAGCTCGAAACGATCCGAATCGCTGAATATTATCATCTGCAAAAGTGGTAAGCCAGGAAACTTTTCCGACCATGTCCTAATTTTTGCGGTTTTTCGAACAAATTTTTGCAACCATTTGGAAAATATAGACGCTTTGGGAAGAGGACAACTAAGGAAGTAGATAACATCAGTCTGTCGGGAAAATAGTGAACAGAACTTCGCATCGAAAATCGGTGCGGTAAAATCAAGTTTCTGAGCGACGTGATCGGAGGAGCGACATTGTGCCATTATTCTCCTGACAGACAAATAAAAAATATTTTTTCGCTTTTCTTGGCTAGCCAAAAAAACAACTGGCTAATCCATATTCAAAAAAACTCCACTGGGAGTCTCATTTCAACTTGCCGTGCCCGTAATTGGCCCTAAACATCATTCTAGTCTGTCAGAAGGTCTGAAGCTCGGAATGTTCATAAAACAGCCTCTAAAATGTGCTGTAAAGGTTTGATGAATCAACTAAGGACATGAAAATTTCAAAGAGACCACACGAATGGAGTCTTTATGGGGATGGAATGGCAAAATGTGCTTTTAGCTAGCCAAAAAAAGCTAAAAAAACTTATTCTTTTACTCTCAAATTTTCTACTTGTCCCTTTCCACGTTGCCTGGCATTGTTTACTTCCAGGTGCGCCGAGCTCGAACGTCTTAAGCAAGCGGAAGGCCCCGACCTCAAACTGCAAAGAATCGACCATCTAATCAAGGAGATGGAAGAACGCGCCAATGTTTTCGGACTCAACGCTTTAGAGGCGATCCGCTGGCGCGAGCTGGCCTCATTCCCAAAACTTTTACTTCCCGATGACCGTGAGGGCAGCGAATACACGGACAGCTTGAGAGATGAAGCCAACAGTTCCCGACCATTCCTATCAAAATCCGTCTACTCAGATTTAACGATTCACAATGGATTCTGTAATCATTCTTTACAGCCATGAGGCTGTTGTTTCAATGCTTTTTTTAAATTGAAATGTACATAGTTTTGAATATAAATAAATATTCCTTTGAAAAAGGAAATTATTGAGATCAGGCGCTCAATTTTTTCAACCTGGGCAACAATTTGGCCTCAACAGCTAACCAGAAACCTGGATACGGCTGCAACCTTCTGTAACTGTACAGTGACGGACCCGATCCAGTGGCAAAAAACGTACCATTTTGCATCCGGGAAGTATCAAAAATGTGGCAAAATGCTTCCCTCTTCAAGGAAGGACGCGCCCTTTTTGCTCAAAAAAAGATTTTTTCACTTGGAGAGGGATGTATATTGCCACATTTTTTGATGCTTCCTGGATGTAAAATGGTACGTTTTTTGTCACTGGATCAGGTCACCCACTGCATATATGCAAAAGGTTTTGGCTACTCCTTTTGGTAAGCTTATGGCTTTGCGAAATCTTTGGCTAGCCGCTGAGGCAAAGTTCCGGAAAAAATCCATTTTTTTGGTCATCCATTTGAGGTATTTCAAAGAATCAATCTGTCGGGAAAATAATGAGCACTCTGTCGCTGTCCCGATTCGTCAGACCGCTCATTATTTCCCCGACAGACTGATATTTTAATATTTTATTAGCGGCCGAAGTTGACACGGCGGAAAATTTTCTTTTTATTATATTTTACATGCACGTAACGTTTGGGCAGTATAAGTTAGAGAAGAGAGATAATGTAAACCCCGACTTTACCAATCCGTCATAAACCCAAGCCAAAAACAAAACCATTAAAATTTCATTAGCGGTTATATCTTCTTCATGGGAACAAATCAATCCTGATTTACGATCAAATTAACGAAGGCCATCTGTTTTACATCTGATGCGGCGTACTACTCCATAAACAACTGAAGTGAACTTTATCCGAACAAAATATAAAACTACAAGTAATAAAAGGTTAAATAAACTGTAGAAACATTCATTATAGACTATCTTTGGCTTTTTCTTCCATTGAATTGCAATTTTTTCGGAGATTTTGTTCCAACGACTTTGACTCGAGTTACAGCAGTAATCTTTCTTCGTGCGGCGTTCTTATGGATTCTACGGACTTGTTGAAGACTTCGACGGAACCCACTGAAACAAAGGTTTGTATTACCGAAGAGAAACGCCGAAACACAGTTTACAAACAAGTGCAGGAACAACTAAAATACAAAAAGGCAAGCGTTTTGAACACTAAATTCTAAGACAACATGAATGCGTTGCTCCTCCAATTCCCGGCAACTATTCAATTCGGGTAGAGTTCATTTTGGGCAGATCGAATGTATCGCTTGCAATCGACTTATTCAACCGTCAAAACGACTAGCCAAAGGGTTGTACAGGTCCAAAAATCTCATAAACTTTTATGAAAAGGATTGGATTGGTAGTTTTTCTGTAGCGGCTACCAATTAAATCCTTTTGCTAGTGATTTATGAGATTTTTAGACCAATACAACCCTTTTGGCTGGCCGTTTGACAGCTGAATAAGTAGATTGCAAGCAATACATTCGGCCTGCTCAAAATGAACTTTGTCCGAATTGAAAAGTACCCGGGACTTGCTAGAGGGACAACACACATATTTTCTTAGAATTTAGCAGATACGATCTCAGAGAAACCAAGCGTGATTGCCAAAAACGGCGTTAATAAACAGAGGAACAGAAAAATGAAGACAGTGCAAGAGGATGGAGGGTGATAAGCAAGCACACAACACATATTTACCTTAAAAATCGAGTAGTTCTCTCTTCTGATCGATGAATTCACCGACTTCCACCGTTCGTATTTCGTAAATATTATACGATGAAACGTGTTTTTACCATGTCAAACGCAGTGGATACGATAAAAAAACATGGTTTGCCAAATCTCGCAATTACCATCATTATGTAGCTTCGATTTCAGTGCTCCAAGAAGCCCAAGGAAACCTTATGATCTTCTTCCTAACAACAACTTATCAAGCCTGAGATACCGCAGCAAATAGCAAATTCCAAGCCACGTTAATCCACCTAGTTCAATATCGGAATCCAGCTTTTTAAAACAGAAGTTTATCTCCTTAAACTTTGACAAATATGAATGCTGTTACAAGACCACAAAATTAAAAACCTTGGAACAATTTTTGATGCAAAAAAATGATGAATGAACAAAGAGGGAAATCACCGAGAGACGTTATTTGGAAGAAGTCGAGGCCATGGAAGCCGGCCCTTTTAGACACTTCAATGCACAACTCAATGAAAAACAGCGATTACCATGAGTGACACTTGGTTATAAACTTGTTTGAGGTCAAAGTTTGAAGATTTTCTGTTTCTTGTTTTCGTCGTGGGACCCGGAGTCCGCATTTTTGTCGGTATTTTGATTGTTTTTTTGAGTAGTAACAAATAAAATCGCCACATAGAAACTTCCGATATCAATATTCACATCAGCAACCAAAAAAAAATTTTTAAAACTCTAATTTCTCCAAAAAAATCCCTTCAAAATTCGGCCCCAAGATACAATCTAGGAGTTCTATATAAAGCACAAAAAAAAGTTTTTTTACAAACAGTAAAAGTTAGAAAAGTTTTTGAAAATAAACGTTAGAATTATCTGCGGTTACAAAACAAACGAGTATTAAGTATCATGAACAATTAACAACCCCATTTTTTGAGTGAATCATCAAGTCCCCAATGGGAAATCGATGATTTGAGGACATAAAAGACCTTGTTATAATTTCACATTACGATTAGAAACCCTTTCTACAGCGTGAGAGTATGAGAAATTTCCGGATTTTCGGAGCGTCCGGTCAAGCATTTGAGAGAATTGAGCAAATTCGAAATTACAGTAACCCATGGATCTCAAATATTTGAAATGCAGCAACATAAGTTACCATCGGATCCTATGGGTTCCATAATCCCCGAATTCGCTCGTCTTCCCCTCCAAATAGACCAAGAAAACATAGAAAACTTGGGATGAATACCAAACAGTCGGCCGAAATCGCGGATCCCGGCCAAATCCCAACAAATCAAAGCGCTTTACCATCCAGCATCGAAGATTGAGTGCAGCGTGTCAGCGGAGGTCATGCCGTACAAGTAGGCCTCGGGTTCTCGGACCGGTTCCAGGTTGATGAAGGCTCGGGAGTCCATCTGACCATTATACGGACTTGACGTCATTGGCGACATTGAGGGCCCGCCATCCGCGACCATCTTCAACGGCGATGCGAAGGCCTTGAAAGAGTTGGGAGTCAGTTTCGCGTCCCTGATTAGACGGTTCAATTCCATGTCAGGGAAGTCCATCGTCTCCAGATCCCCTTTCAAATCGTGCGGGATGTCCGAGTCGGCGGAGCAGTTCATCGGCCTTGGCGTCTTCTAAAAACCGAAAAGATGAAATAATGAGCAAAATCAACTTACAAATTCATGCATCATCGGGGTTTCCGAGGCCGACGCCGTGTCGGTTGGGCAGACAAACACTTGGATAGGGTCATTACTTTCGGACCTCACGAAGATATGGCGCTCTCCTTGCTCCTAAAATTATTCGTATATTATTCCTTTACAAAATAGTCTAGCAATCCATATCAAATACTGTAGAAATGTAATTGATCATACCGTATTTCCAGGACCTTCTTTGTCCGATACCTGTAGAATACACCTTGATCCGGATGGCGATTTTACCGCTACCAGCATCCTCTCCGACAAGTCGCCCAAGGCATGGAGATCCTCATAAGTTACGTATCTAAAAATGAGATAGACTAATCGAAAAGAAAAAACGTACTGATAAGGCATTTCGGTGGGGTCTTCTCGAGTTAGATTCATCGCATTCAAAGTCGACCTCATCAGCGTGTCGAGATAGTCCTCTTCCTTCTGTAGATCGTCGATCTCTTTCTTTAGGTCATGCAGGTCTTGTGTGTGCGACATGTCAGTTTGTGATCTAAAAATTGAACGACCTTTATGTAGTATAATATAAATTTGAAGTCAAATTTTGACAGCAATCTATCCTACTTGAATCTGATCGAGTTCTTCCCCATCTTCTCTATCATATCAATTCCCTCCAAGACATTCGTGATATCATAGAGCCGTCTCTTCTGAACGCCCAACTTCTCGGCCGCTTCGTTCAAATTCAAGACACATGGCTCAGATTCAGGCCTGAGATCAAGGAATTTCCGGGTCAACCGGAGCAAAGAACTGTCTTGTCGCGCGTTCGGATCAGGATTGTCGGTTTCCACTAAAAATTTGGAGTTCAGGCATGGATAATATCGGATGTCAAAAAATCCTTTACGATTGTAAAATATGAATTTAAAGGCTAATAAAACCCAACTTCTGATCATATTCCAACATATTACACCTAAACTCAGCAACAAAATAATCATTTTGACATAACATACAATCTTCTTCTTTAGGAATCTTAGGTTTGGATCCGCCCGGAGGTAGGTTGGCGTCTTTTTGTGTTCGTTTCTTTGGCTCGGGAACTTTGAAAACTAATCTTTCTTTTGCACTTGGCTGCATATAATGTTGATCGGGGTCTGGCTTTATATAATCCACTGGGTAGTAAGTATGAATTACCTGAAATAAAGTAAATTCATGTGTATAAAAGGCGATGTAGTTGTTGTAACAGACAACACTAAGCCTATTCGACACGGATTAGAAAGTTTAGGCGAACAAACTACGAATTTTAGGAAAGTTTAGGTAACAGATACCAAAAACAATATCAAAAGTGCCATAATTCCGAGCCTTGCTTTCAAGATGTGCTATACAATATCTAAACATGATAAGAAAACCAAAATCAAGTTGCTCTTACCTTCTTCTCGCTTTGTGGAGACGTTTTCAACACAAAATGTTGGGATGGCTGAGGTGGAGTAACTGCAACTTTTTGGCTCTGAATCACTTTATTCGGCGTGTTTCCTTTGACAGGCGCCACCAGCATGGTACTAACGTGGATGGGGCGTGGTCGTGGTGCCATCATACTCGTCGAAGTGGACGGATATACATTCATATTGGCCAAGAGATCCGAGCGGTATTCTGACATCTTCGGCGGTTGATAAACCGCTCCACCGGCGTCCATTCAACCAGGGGGTGCCTGAAAACACAATTAAACTTATTTTCCTTCTATTTTAGGCTTGAAATTACAGGAAATCCTTGGGAAAAATCAAAGAATATTATTTTAGGTAAGAAATAGCGGAGAATCACAAAATCCATACGGGAATAGATAAAAGGTGGTTTCTGGTTTATGTTTAGTACAGCTTCCATTCAATTGCACTCAATGGACGCGCAAGTCGAGAGCAGAAAAAAGAAAATTACCGAATTAAAAAAAATTGTAGGAATTCGAGAAAATTCGTTGAGAAAAAAAGAAATTATCGAGTTTTTTTGGGTAAAATACGAAGTCTTCTTTCATGCCATCTGTTTACTAGCGATTATTTGTCATGTGGGTAATGATCTAGGTAATTTTCGATTGGAAATTCAACCTTAGATTGCAAAAATTATCAAAATCGGGATTTTTTGTGAGTTCAGGTCAAAAAATACGTTATCGACTGGTCGATTCTGCGGTAAAACGATCGGAGTTGATGTGTTTTGCCGACATGAACGATTATCGACCAGTAAATTCCGATGCGAACTCGCTTTTTGGCCTCAGAAGTCCAGAAAACCCAGCGATTTCTCGGTGGAATCGCGGGGAATTTGGTCGTAAAATACGACCCAATTCCGGGCATAACGGCTTCCGGACGAAGCGCAAAACTTTGGCGTTATGGGACCGCAAAACTGCAAGGAGATTTCTCTGTGTTTGGGGACCGCCGAAGCGAAGCGAAAACGGGGCAGAGAAGGGGTTAGGGGGGAGAGAGACGGGAAAAAATTTCTTCACAGGAGGAGAATAAAGAGCAAAAAAGTCTTCTCCCCCGGTCTTGACACGAGAACTTCCAAACTCAAAAACAATGACAAGATTGCAACAGGCATTGTGACCAATCGCATGCTGTGATTGGGCATGTGGTAAAGTACGGGGACCTAGACTTTTGATGGCTTGAACTTGAGGTAGTTTTGTAGGAAAAGTGGATTTTTTCGTGGGGTTACTGTAACTTCTTGCTGAAAAATTTCATCTATCATATTCTGCAGTCTCTGCTGGGCATTATCTTATCAAAATTAGCCCAAAAAATTACAGTATTCAATTTCAAATTTCTATAACTGGAACTTAGCGTGGTTTTGTAGGAAAATTGCATTTTCAGCGGGATTACCGTAACTTTTTTCTGAAAAATTTCATTTAACACATTCTATAGGCTCTACAGGCCATTATGATATCAAAATTGGCCCAAAAATTACAGGATTCACTTTCAAATTTATATAACTAGAACTTGAGGTAGTTTTTTTATGCACAATTGAATTTTCAATGGGTTACTGTAACTTTTTACTGAAAAATATCATTTATCCTATTCTATAAGCTCTGTTGGCCGTTACACAATCAAAGTTGGCCCAGAAAATTACAGTAATCACGTTCAAATTCCTATAACCGGAATTTGGGGTAGTTTTGTAGGGGAATCGGATTTTCAGCGGGATTACTGTAACTTCTTATTGAAAAATATCATTTGTCATAGTCTAGATGCCCTACTGGCCATGATGCAATCAAAATTTCCCGCAAAAAATTCAGTCATAAATTTCAAATTTCTGCAACTGTGGTTTTGTCGGAAAAATTGGATTTTCCATGGGATCACTGTAACTTTTTACCGAAAAATTTATAAGTCATAATGTATAAGGTGTACTGGCCATTACGTAATCAAAATCTCCCCAAAAAATGCAGTCGTCACTTTGAAGTATCAGTTTTTTGCGTCATCATCTAAAGTACAAGGTCAGGCCTTAAACTTAAACCTGGCCAGACATGCCAGTATAGACTCGAATATTTGTCGATTCTGCTCCCAGTCCCCGAAAATCACAAGTTCTCCCCAACGAAGCGGGGCAGTAATTTTTCATATTCTTCAGGTCAGGGATGAAACGAAAAAACGAAAATATTGGCTGAACTGCTACGGAAAGATAAAAGTGCTTTTGGAACTAATACGAGTGAGATAAAACGGGTCACGTCAAGAAAAAATAAAACAAAAGCGCTCAAGCAATGAAAAATTCTTGGCATTCTGTTTGATCTCAAAGACAATTTTTTGCGATAAAGATAGCCTGATTACACGATGAAGATGGGGTAGAATGGGGTTATTGCATACATAAATTTGAAGCTGGGCTCCTGCTTAACCTGAACATATATATTTCATATAAAAAATCGGTCGTCTTCTATCTGTTTGAAGCCTAAACTAACAACGCCTAAAAAATGTTGCGATTTCGAGGATTTCTCTAAGATTTTCCCTCGCCCCTATTTGAAGTTTCGTGGAAACATAGTCTGGAACAAGGCGGATTTTTTGAGCCTAAAACGAAAAAAATCAAATGAGCCAGTTTCGAGATAGAAAATCTCTTCATTTTGCGCAATATTTCGCCTTTCCTCTGACCTCGTCCAAAAAAACTGTCATTGAGACGGATTTTTTGGACACTTCCGTAAGCGGAAACAGAATGCCAACTTTCGTGTTGATACATAACCCTTTGAGCGCAAAATCTTGACGTGCGGGTGCTCATTCGCAATGAGCATACGTTTTGAGGGGAGCTAAAAAATTGTTAGGGCAAAAAAAGAGGGATTGAAGAATTTGCAAAATTTTGCAAACAAGAATGCAGATAACTCCATTTTCTTTGTGGAATATCCACCCAAGACTGTTGAACTTTTTTTCAAGACTGCTGAAGAAAAGTTCAAAAGTCTTGGGCGGAGATTCCACAAGGAAAATGGAGGATATTTGTGGGGCGGAAGAGGACAAGCGGACACTCGGGGTGCGTATTAATGCCCGACGCGACAGTTCGCGGAAAGGTCAACAGTCGTAAATGCTCACAATTCGCTTTGTTTTGGCAATCTTAGAAGCTCAAGTGCTTGTCGTAAATTCGAATAGCGGCTGATCACAACAATAAATCCTACGGTCAGCCGAAAATAGAAAAATTGAAAAAATTTCGGAGTTTTAGTCCCTAGTACAATATGATTTTCGACAGAAATTTTAGACATCCAATTTTCTTGAAATTTTGCATGTGAACTCTGGATAGGTCGCTTATCAATTACTGAAAGTTTTATCTCAACCGTTAAGCCCCATATCAAGAAGAATGAGTTCAAACTTTTCGAAGCTCCACAAGAATTATCGACCGAGCTTTGTTTTTCCTACCGAAATTTGCATAAATCCATCCGATAATTCCTATGCATAGCTATGTCGTTTTGTTGAATTTTACCTTATTGATATGAAAATTTTCATTGACTTTAACTCAGCAATCTTGTTGCGAGAGAGCACGCAAAATGAGGAGAGTCGTTTAGACGATTTTTTTTTTTCTTTATTACCATGAACTCTGCGTTAAAAAAATTAAAGTTTGCATAGTCATTGTGCTCCTCATTCATCACTTCTAAACCATCTCGAACTTTTCATATTTGCAATCACAAAAAAATCATCGATTTCTTTTTGAAATTCTACCGTATTCCTTGGCCGTATAGTCATCAAATCCCAATTTCCTCAAAATAGTCCGCAGGCCAAATTTCCGCGGCATTCCCAGCCTGCCGTGTTCTTGGCAAGCCTTCCGTCACAAGGACGAGCGATCCAAAACATTTTTCATGTCCATGCGTCCGCACCTCCCTCCCCTTTCGTCTCTCTTCCGTCTTTTCCTCCTCCAGCGAAAACAACGGGTTCAACGCTTTTTTCCCGCCAAACAGCATGATTTTAAAAGAATCGCAGGGAGGGGGGAACGGGGAGCGCTGTACTTGAAGACGGGAAAAAAGCGAGGGGGGCTTGTCGCCGCGGAAAAAAGGGCTCTGCCCGCAGGCGGGAGAAGCCAACGGAGAGGGGGAGAATAATGGCGGGGAGTGTGTTATTTCGTTGGCTCGGAATTGCATCGCTTAGGGGGGTGGAAAATATGATTCGTCACTTAATCGTCAAGAAAATGTCAGGGATTTACTCAGCAATTCATTATGCGGCTGCAAGTGAATGGGTCGAAACCGGAGAGCGAAAGGAAGGCAGGGAGGGCAAATCGGGGGAAAGTTGGGGAGTAGGGCTGGTCTAGAATCATCGGTTTCTGGATAGCACTGATTTAGAGTACAAAAATGGTGCAGTTGTTGCTATTCCGTTTGCGGTCACAATACCTCTGCAAAAAATCCATTTTCTCCGGGCAAAAATCTCCAAGACATAGCTAAATTTTTGAGGAGTACGGCATAAATTTTAAGAAACGGTCAATACATTCTTGGTGTTTGGAGATTGGGATTTGATGACTAAATGGCCAAGGAGTACGGTAGAAATTCAAAAAAAAATCGGTGAATTTTTTGTGATTTTAGAAATAAAAATTTCGAGCCGTTTTGGAAGTGATGATGAGGAGCACAATGACAATGCAAAACTTTTAATTTTTAGAGCAAAGTTCGTGGTGAAAAAAAAAAACAAAAAAAGATTCATCCATCCCACCATCCTCATTTTGCATGCTCTCTCGGAAAAAGATCGCTGGGTGCACGTTAACAAATTTTTTCCCATCAATAAGGTAAAATTCTACAAAACGAAACAGGAATTACCGGATTTATTCAAATCTTGGTAGGAAAAACAAATATCGGTCGATAATTCCTGTGGAGCTTCGCAAATTTTGTAATCATTTTTCTTGATTTTGGGGTGTGACGGTTGAGCTAAAACTTTTAGTGATTGATAAGCGGCCTATCTAGAGTTCACATGCAAAATTTCAAGAAAATTGGATGTCTCAAAATTTTACTAAAAAATTATATTGTAGTAGGACTAAAGCTCCGATTTTTTTTTTATATTTTCGGCTGACTGTAGGATACATTGTTTTGTCCAGCCGCTACTCGAATTTACGACAAGCACTTGAGCTTCTAAGATTGCCAAAACAAAGAGAATTATGAGTATTCATGAATGTTGATGACCTTAAAAATTGTAAGAAAACGAGACATCTTTTTTCGAGCCAAACTCATGGTAATAGAGCCAAATATCTGTTTTCGTGTACTGTCAACATTTTTCGTACTCC